TGTACGAGTATTGAAAGATAAACACTATTAGACTGGTTATACCCAATTTAACTTGTTTGGGCCTTGCTTCAATGCAAACCAAAAGAAAACGTCCTACCAATGCGAACCATGCTGCCCTTGATGATTTGGGCCACCATAATCCATCTGAACCTCTTAAAGATTTTTGCCCATTGTTACCTAAAAATATTTGGGCCACTTATTATTCTGATACGGGCTAGCCCATTCCAATTCCTTATGGGCTTGAACCCTTGGGCTGATGCAAAATTTTGACGGTCTTTGTTTAATGTATGAATACAATTTCCATTTATTGAATCGATTGGTTTTATTTTTCCTTTTTTATTTTTGGGTAAATAGCTTTTTTTTTCTTTTGGTGTTATAAAGGATCCCTAATTCAAAGATATCAGGAAAAGACATTGTTTCCCTCCTTCTTTAAAAGGAGACATTTTTACTTCATACAAATCACAATTTGACACACGCAAAAATAATTCATCAAAAACACACGATGATAAATCTCTCCACACATGTAAAACTGTGATTAACAAAAAAGTAAAAATTCCTACTTCCAAAGAAGGAGGCAAGTATAAAAAAATGATGGTTAACAAGTTAAGGAAGAGAGTACAACTCACATGTGTTCCAAACTATCACATCAAAAAAATTATAGTCTAATTGCAAAATGTTTTGTTGCCGATTTATCTTTATATTCTTCATTAGAGATACATGTTACATTTTAGTGAAATATGCACAAATTTAGGATCCATAAAAATAAAAAAATTCACATGAGATAAATTATAAGATCATGTGCCATTTTCTTGGAGTTATCACACATATAATCACTTCATGTGCCTTTTTGCGGTTTCTTTATGTTTAGAATAAGTTGCATAGATTATTTAGGTTCTCTGTGTAGTTTTCACCTATCCTTTTGTGAGAGTTTTTCACTTCTTCTTTGTGAGAGCTTTTCATATCTCATTTGTGAGAGTTTTATTTGTATTGTTATAACTTGTTTTTTTTCAAGCTTTATCTTTTTTAATTTTTTTCTATAAATATATGCTCTAAGTTTGCAATCTTAATTGGGATGTCTATGCTAGAGTTTTTTCGATCATGCGTGATCATTAATGGAGGCGCACTAGATTGTCTTAATTTTGATGTTAGACTGATTCATTGTGGCTGCCACATCTCCACTTAATGCAGCTTTGACTTTAAAACAAATTATAAGACTATGTCACTTTCTTTAAGTAATTATTCAAATAGGCATTGGAATTATTCCAAAATTAGGATGTAGAGATCATAGGAATTGGAATAGTTCTAGAGTTCAAATAGAAAGGAAAAAGAGAAACTACATTAGGCCCTACCCTAGAAAAAGAAATCGGATCTAGAGATGATAGGCATACGACTAGCATTTTGTTGTGTACCAAATTTGGACCGGTGCTTAATTATCCATAATGTGGTGGTACAATTAATCGATGACTAAGACTGATACTTGCTTAATGGACGATATGGATCCAATTTTGCTCCCGTTGCTATCTAATTGAGACACATTTTGTTTCATCTTTTGACATGTAATTGTCCGATTAGATGGTAGATGTGGAAAACAGAAAAACAAATTAAATAGCTATTTTATATATATGTATAAAGGAACAAGTTAGCCTAGGTGTCCATTTCACGACAAGTAAAAAGAGTGCCAGATGAGATGTGTTCATGTTGAAACGTCTAACTCAACTGGTCGGCCATTAAAACAATCGACTAATTAGGTGAGGGCAGAGGGGAATAGCATGTGGCCTTAGAGTCTCCATAATATATATTAACTCTTCATGAAACGCGAGATGTGGACCTCCATATGTAGACACCGATGCATTCATAAATTGTGTTGCAGAAAAGGCTACAAGACCAAATTTTGCACCCCCCTTTTAGTTATGCAAGGTCGCTACTTCTGATACTTTCTTCCCTAGGAGTTCATACTTGAGCTCATGCAATTTATTATGGCATGGGCCCTTGAAATGAGACGAGACACATAAAATGCTACGTGCACGTTTATATAAATGGAACTACGAAATCTTGTGAAATATATAGAATACTACGTATATGATAATATAAAATTATGAAGATATATGATTCGACTCATATCAATTAACGATTAATTAGTTTCAAGTATAGGTTGGAGTGATATATAGAAAACATGGACAACACACTATGAAATTCCTTGCAATATATGTATAGAAAGGACATAAATGTGCAATATATTTTTATATTCTGAAAAATTGTTTCTGTGAGTCCATCGGATTCCCGTGTTGATATTGGCTCACTTAAAGATGCAAAATGAATGAAGGAAACAAACGATCAAAAGAGCTGTAGTAATTTTGACTGAGCTCTGCCGCTCGAGTGGAAACTATATGCACTCGAGCAGTAGAGCGGTACTTCTCACCCAAACCTAGGCGCTTGAGCACCTGCTCGAGCTGCAGAACTCAGACTCGAGTAGACACAGGTGCTCGAGTGGTGCTTGAGCAGGAGGCCCAAATCCAACACGTATTCTTGGCGAATCTGGACAGATTTTCTCCTAATTTTGAAGTCTTTTAAGTTTCCTATTCTTTATATAATTGTACTAAAGCCTTATGACATATAAATAGGCACTTTAGCATTAGGTTATTAAAAAAGTGATAAAGCTAAGGCATCAAATTGGGTTTGAGCCAAGGGTGAGAGAAGAGAGAGCTAGGGTTTGTAAGAGATCAAATGAGGTTTTTCATTGTAACCAAATGAGTTCTTTCATACTAGTGAATTTCTTGGGGATTATCAAAGAAAATATAGGCACAACGTTGAACCTTTATAAATTCTCCCGTTCTTTGTGGACTTTGTGGAATTTCATGTGTGTTTTTTCTTTGTGTGGCTTGTGTGTGATTGTTGTGTAATCCATCAATGACAAGATTTTAGAGTGTTTTCACACAACAACCCAACCATATAATTTGAAGAAGAAATTAAATATGCAGGTTAACCCTAAATGTAGATTATCCACGATGATGAACTAGCTAAGACTCGTCACTTATGCATGAACTTTTTTATTTGCCTTTTGTCTCGTAGTTAGAGTTATATAAAATCTCTTTTGGTCTAACAAATTTTGATTATTTTTACTTTTCTTGTAATCTGGGCTATTGGTAACCCAACTAAAACAATAACCCATCGACCCAAAAAAAACTAAAACAATGACCCATGCTCTCTCAGAACATTTACTTGATTCACAAGGGTTTGAAAAAAGGAAATCTTCATGTAATTAAGGATATTATTAGTGAATATTCTGATATATAATAGTAACATACACATACTATATATGGAAATCAATCTTTGTGCAGACATTAATTCTTATTAGCTGTTGATTTTTTTCAATCACATACACATATAGATATATATATATATATATTCATGGTTTAATCTTTGAGTTCAAACTTTGATCTGTTGTCCCAATTACAGAACTGGAAGGTGGGTATTTCCAACAAGTTTTTACCTTTCAAAGAGAAAATTCAGCCTAGAACAATGCATTTCGTGCCTTGCGGTGAATATGAACTTACTTATGAAAGTCACCATTTTCTTCTTGTTATGCCTTGCGTTGAATTCTTCTTGTTATGCCAACAAGAAGAGACAAGATTAAAACGTGTTTCGACGAGTAAAAATGGATAATGCATGCCAGCATTTTCTTCATTAAAAAAAAAAAAAAAAAAAAAAAAAAAAAAAAAATTTTAAAAGAACTAAAAGATTACAGGTTCTCATGCAGACAGTTTGTTGCAGCCAGTTTGCCAGCAGCCAGCAGCCAGCAGGTTATATATTTAATGTTGGAAGTCTGGAGAGCCAAAGACTCTTCCTAACCTCAACAATAAAGTCCGCAACCGTTTATGGAAATCAATTTTATGGGGTATCATTGCTTTCAAGTTATCTGTTTCTTGAGAGAGAGAGAGAGAGAGAGAGAGAGAGAGTGATTGACAGATTTTTTTTTTGGAGGAAGATGAGGTTGGTTAATGTTTATATCTACCACATGGAAACTTATGATATTCTACAAGTCCACAGTTTCATGCATCTATATACTAATGTAACCAAGCTTTTTAGTTATATTAAAAAGATTGCGATTGTTTTTGCACCTACATCTACCCACATTCAAATAAGAGTTTATCTAATCTGTTAATATAACATATATGGTATCTAATAAGAGAATATATATATATTATCGCCGTATTCATAACAACTTAAAAACAAAAAATGAAAATTCATTCAATCATTTTTTTCCTGCTGAATTGGTGGACCCTTGGGTGTAAGGGAGCCAGCATTTACTCACGAGGAGAGTACCAAAGTACAAGTAACATAATCATATGTTGCAATATGTTAACTCTAAACCTACCTTGTCTCTTCTACGAATTACACAGTCTTCTGATATAACACATTCTACTTACTTCTGGTGATCGAATTGACAACTTGACAGGAATTAATTAATCTAAATTTTGTGTTTAAAGGATTTAATTACTTTTTAGTTGTGGGTGATGGAATTAATAAGAATTCAAAAAATAGCCATATTTACTTAATTACCGCAAAAGTGAGTCATAAGCCGAGCTTTAATGAACTACAAGGCGGCCGGCGCCTAAAAACTAAAAAAGTAGGCTAATTGAATGTAATGTTGGTGTTGGCATCGACCTCCAACTACTCACAACAACTGCCCTAATTTACACGTAAAAAAAGTATCTCTTTATAATCTTTTGATTTAATCAAAAAACCCAAAGTCAATTTCATAATATTTTCTCCCAACCACATAATATTTTCATGGCAAAAAAAAAAAAAAAAAAAAAAAAAAAAAAAAAAAAACAAACAACTTCAACTTCAACACACAATAACAACATCATCTTCTCTCCCTCCTTTTAAAACCCCATCTCCTACGCTCTTCATAACATAACCTCTCCTCCTCACTAAGCTCACCCCACAAAACATTCATTCAACCCACCTAGCCATCTCTCTCTCTCTCTCTGGTGGCCATGGGAGCACAACACCGTTTCGAGCCAATTTCTAGATGCAGCACCGAGGGAAGATCAAGCCAAACCGTGGCAGCAGACCTTGATGGCACACTCCTTGTGTCACGCACTGCCTTCCCTTATTACATGCTTGTTGCAATTGAAGCCGGCAGTCTTCTAAGAGGCCTAGTTCTGTTAGCATCCGTCCCGTTCGTCTATTTCACCTACCTGTTTTTATCAGAGACCATAGCAATCAAAACCTTCATCTTCATTACACTTTCTGGCCTTAAAATGAAGGACATTGAGATGGTGGCAAGGTCTGTGCTACCCAAGTTTTATGCTGAAGATGTTCATCCAGAGACTTGGAGAGTTTTCAATTCATTTGGCAAGCGTTACATAGTCACAGCCAATCCCAGAATTTTGGTTGAGCCTTTTGTCAAAAACCTCTTGGGTGCTGATAAGGTTCTCGGCACTGAATTGGAGGTGTCAAAATCTGGGAGGGCAACTGGGTTTGTGAAAACACCAGGTGTTCTTGTTGGAGAGCTCAAAAGAGAGGCCATTCTCAAGGAGTTTGGTACAAACTTGCCTGATTTAGGCCTGGGAGATAGAGAGACTGATCATGATTTCATGTCCCTTTGCAAGGTATGTTCATTTCATCATGCATAATTCACTCTCTCTCTTTTTTTTTTTTTTTTTTTTTTTTTTTTTTTTTTTTTTTTTATTTATTTTTTATTTAAATTTTCTAAAATATTTTTGTTTGTTGGGATTGTGAAGGGATAAACTTGTGAGCTGTTTCTCAGCTGAACATAAATGGCTAACCATTAGAAAGGACACTGCCATTCACTCTAAGATTTATTACAAGTTTGGTGAGAGCCTTAATGGCAACAATATGATATCAGCTGCTACATGCATTTTACTGAAACCATTTTAACATGAATCATAACCTCTTTTTGGCTCATGCTTTTCACTTTCCATACTTTAATTTTTTTTACCACATTTATTTCACAATGCTTGACAACTGACACCCCCATACACTCTTCATGCACCAACCCACTTTCTTTATTCAATCCCAATTAACCCTTGTGACTTTGCACAAACCAAACTTTCTTTGCACCACAAGTTTTATATATATATACAAATTAAGCAATATTTTAAAGGAAGTATAGATTATTTGGTCATGTTTGGTCATGACTTTTGCATTTCCTGTTTTTAGTTCTAACAAAATTCTGTTTGATAACAATTTGACTTAAAGAAGTTCTTCTCATGTTAACCCAATGACTCTCTTTTTGACTTGTCGTTTTCGCAGGAAGGGTACATGATCCCAAGAACCAAATGCGAGCCATTGCCAAGAAACAAGCTTCTAAGCCCAATCATATTTCATGAGGGCAGATTGGTCCAAAGACCTACCCCCATAGTTGCCCTATTGACCTTTCTTTGGATGCCAATTGGTATTCTTCTCTCCCTCCTTAGAGTCTACACAAACATCCCATTGCCTGAGAGAATTGCAAGATACAACTATAAACTCCTGGGAATTAACCTAATTGTTAAGGGCACCCCTCCCCCTGCCCCCAAGAAAGGTCAAAGCGGGGTCCTATTCATTTGCAACCATCGTACGGTTTTAGACCCCGTTGTCACAGCAGTTGCATTAGGAAGAAAAATCAGCTGTGTCACATATAGCATAAGCAAATTCACTGAACTGATTTCTCCGATCAAGGCCGTGGCTCTGTCTAGGGAGAGAGAGAAAGATGCTGCAAATATCAAGCGTTTGCTGGAGGAAGGAGACTTGGTGATTTGCCCTGAAGGCACCACTTGCAGAGAGCCATTTCTGCTGAGGTTTAGCGCCCTGTTTGCAGAGCTTACTGACAGAATTGTGCCTGTTGCCATTAACACAAAGCAAAGTGTGTTTTATGGGACGACAGTTAGAGGGCACAAATTGCTGGACCCTTATTTTGTGTTCATGAACCCTATGCCTACTTATGAGATCACCTTCTTGAACCAGCTGCCTGCAGAGCTCACTTGCAGAGGAGGGAAATCTGCCATTGAAGTTGCAAATTATATTCAGAGGGTTTTGGCTGGGACTTTAGGTTTTGAGTGCACCAATTTGACCAGGAAGGACAAGTATGCTATGATGGCAGGGACAGATGGCAGAGTTTCATCACCCAACAAAGAAAAGGAAAAGGAAAAGGAAAAGGAAAAGCCAAAGGCCTAATTAAGAATGGGGATATCAAGTTTATTAGTTTAATTACCCCATGAGATTGATGATCAAATTCTCTATTGTTTTCCAATATGCTCAAAACATTAATAATAAAATGTTTGTTAATTAGTACTAATTAGTGTATATGTGTTAATTTTGGTATTTGCAAAATATTTTTTGTTACAGTCTGGTGGTGGTGGTGGTGGGGGCTGGGCCTAACATGGTTAGGTGACTGGTTTATGTTTTAATGGCATTGTTTTGAAAACAAAAGGACAAATAATAAACACCTGCCTAAATCAGAAAAGTTTATTCCTGACATTTTTCTAGTACCAATTTATTATATTGGTGGAACAGCAATTTAACTAACATTAGTTCTGCAAATGTGAATGAGGCTCAGTTCTTCTCTCCAAAAAAATTTGAGAATTTTCTGTGTATATACGAAAAGCTTTTATTGAGAGATTCATCAAATAAGTTTATTTGAAGGACATCCTTGTAAAATCCACTCCACATCGTATATTACTAATCAAAACGTTTATTTTGTAGATCTTCATTCAAAGATCATCTATACAAAAAATCACTTGAATATGATACTATTCAATTAAATTATTGAAATTCAAGTGCTTTTTTAAGCACCGTATTCATTAATTTTGTACAAATTTATAAATAAACCCAATTCTAGACATGTATTTATAAAAAAAACCCAAGCACTATTTAAACATAGAAACACACCCAAAATCAACCCCAAAATCAACAATTGTTTATTTTTTTGGGTGTGTTTATAAATGGGTTTTGAGTGTGTGTAATGATGGGTTTTGGGTGTGTTTATAAAGTGTTTTGGGTGTTGGGTTTTTTTATAATTTCAGCCCCCATTTTGGGTGTTTTAGTGAAACTCCCTTAATTTTGTTGGTCTGAATTAGATGTCTTAATGATATTTGTATGACTTTTTTTTCAAGGATGATATCTAAATGAAGATGTGAAAAATAGATGGTTTTGATCTTTGAATTTTTTATTGTAAAGGTCCCTAAAGGATGTCCATTAAATAAAATTATTTGAGAGAACCCTCAATAGAAGTATATATATATATATATATATATAGTGAGCTTTAGTTGATGTATCCCTCAAATTATTTGAGGGACACCCTTGTAGAGCCCATCATACATTGTATTTCATTAATTCAAACTGTTTATTTTATAGATATTCATTCGAAAATTATCTATGCAAAAAATAACTTGAATACGATATGACTTGATCGTTCAATTAAATTATTGAAATTTTAGTACTTTCTTGAAGTATCGTGTTCATTGATTTTGTAGAACACTATTAGATGTCTAAACAGTTTTCGAATTGTCTAATTTTTTTTATAAGGATGATCTATGAATGAAGACCTAAAAAATAAATGGTTTGGATCATTGAAAAAAAAATCATAAGGTACCCTACGAGTGTCCATCAAATAAAATTATTTGAAAAATCTCTCAATATATAGTTAGTTATAATATGGATAAATTATTTTAGTATTTTCTCATCTTCAGTCTTTTGCATTTTCACATTACATTAAGAATACATTTTTGTTCACAACTTTAACTTAATGTGTACACTCATCATCATTCTTGACACTTGATACATGATCATAAGCATAAACATAGTTAATTCTTTGTTTTGTATTTATAGAACCTTTTAAAGCATTAAAAATGTAAAAAAGAAAAAAAAGAAAAAAGAAAAAGAAAAAGAAAAAAAAAGGGGTAAACTACGGCCCACCCGAACCCAGCACTGCATCCCCTCGCACCACCACCTCCCTCTTTTTCTCTTCCTCTTTGTTTGTCTTCTTTCCTCCATCTATCTCTCTCTTTAGAAAACAAGGAATAGAAGTTGACTATGGATTCACCCATAAGCTGATTGGGGTTCAATTGGACATGCGGTCCATTTCCCACCAACATATCTTGTTTGCAAATGCCACCTGTTCATGTAATTGAAAAATTCGTGGTGGGCGGCGAGTCGGCGACTAGGGAGATAGTGCACTGGTGGGCGGTGGTTGTTGTACAATCTTTTAGTTTTTCAAAATGTTTTGTTCTTTTAATTTTGAGGAAGATGAAAACAACCCATATGAAGAAATTGAAGGATTGAGATCTGGATTACGATGCTGATGTTAAGGAAGAAAAGGTTAAATTTCAATGTGAGAGAGATAGAGGGAGGAATAGAAACAGAGACGGAAGCGGCAAAGAGGAATTGCCATTTGGGTCGGGCAGTCTTCTTCTTCTTCGTTTTTTCTTTTTATTATTATTATTATATATATATATTATTTAAATTTAAAATTATTATTATTTTATTTATAATTATAATTTTTAAATTATTTTTATTTTTATTCCAAGGATAAAATTGGATGTCAAAGTCCAACTATATAAAAAGGTTAAATTTTCTTTAAAAATGACACATGACAAAATTTGAGTGGGAATATTATCAGCAGACGTGGTGATACTATACCACACAATAATCTCTCGATTTAAAGTGGTGAGCAAAAATACTTTTAGTGAAATTCTATAATAGAGGTGTCATATATGGACCCTTTATGTAGACCTTTATATTAGACACAAGATCATTTTATTAAATTTGAGTGAAGTTACTATTCAAATGAATCTTGTAACTAATATAAAAATTCCCATCTATGGTTCATAATATATAACATCCTTACCACAGAACGACTCAACATTAATAAACAAATTAATTTAGGCCTTAAAATTATAAGTTCTGTTAAAGGCCGATGAGAATGAATAGTGGACAACCAAAACACGGAATCAACCCCTACCGTTGAGTCCCCTGCAAAAGCCATCCAGATTCATGAAGCGAAGAAATATTATTTTTCCAGAAAAAAGAAGATATATATATAGTTCAACTAACATTTTTTATTAATTAAAAGCCTCCATTTTTGGGTTTGGGCCGGTGGTCCCTTTCTAACCTTCATTTCATGAATCATGAGTCATGACCAAAGCAGCATATATAGGGCCCCTTATTATACTCATAAATTTTGCCAGCTCCATTTTGTCCCCCAATTGGATGAGAAGACGTGGTATGACGGGGTGTATAACTCCTACTTATTATATTTTGAGGAATGCTAGCAACCTTCTTTTTAACTTTTTTCTTTGTATCTTTTTCATTTTTTACTTGACATGTATCATTCTTATTATACTTAAAACAATGTCATTAATATATTATACAAACTAACTTTTCCTCTCCAAGTTTATCCTTATTAAATGTATTCAATTTATCCAAACAAATTTCACAACTTTCTTACCATATTATTAATTTTTTTTTAACTTTCATTATTTTTTTAAAAGAAAATTTTTGCTTTTAAAAAAAGAGGAAATGTCCTTTAAAAAATAAAAAATAAAAATCTAAACTTGACGTTAAAAAAAAGGGACATTTCCTCTTTTTTTAAAAAGGAGACATTTTCTTAAATAAAACAAATTGTCATTAAAATATATATATATATATATATATGGTAAGAAAGTTGTGAATTTTTTTTGGATAAATTGAATACATTTAATAAGGGTAAACTTGGAAAGCAAAAGTTAGCTTGTATAATATATTAATGACATTGTTTTAAGTGTAAGTAAAATGACACATGTCAAGATAAAAAGGAAAAAGGTCCAAAAGAGAAGGTTAGAGAAAGTTGCTAGCATTCCCCTTATATTTTTGACCTCTCAAGAAAGACTTCCATGAAACGGGATATCATTATTCTGCTATTCCGGTCAATAACAATATGACAATAACGCTTTCACATGATATAATATTATTGATTGAGAATAGTAAAACAATGTTATCCCATTGCAACTAATCTTTTGTCCAATCTGGCGTGCCATGGCTGCTGGGACCTTGCCCACAAATCTCTGCGTACTAGCCTTAAATTTCACATGCATAGCCATATCATATGCATGTGAAGCGTCAGCCCAAGCTAGCTAGCTAAGCCTTTGACTCATTTAATTGGAAAATGTAGTGGAAACCTTGGGTAGTTGCATATGCATAATTCAAACAAAGTAAATGCATAAATTCATGGGGACCTGACCCCACCATGCATGATAAGATTGGTACGTCTGCATACTCAATTAATTTTTTAAAGTAGGGGTATCCAATAATTTAGAGAGGAAGTACCGTTAAATTATTAAGGTTTGGTTAATAATTAGCAGCTACTAGCTAGCATTAGATTCCGAACCAGTTAGGTATATTTCCATATATATATATATATATAAAAGCAATTTTCCGGCGGTGACTATTGCTTTGCCTTTTACCCCAGTCTGATGAGCAGCTCGCTAGCTAGCTCTCTCATTCGCCGATCTCTTCAAACACAACAAAAGTATATTTTTAAGGGTTAATGACCTAAATGGTCCCTCAACTATCCCGCGATTATCATTTTGGTCCACCAACTAAAATTTTCAATTCAAACGTCCTTAAACTTTTTTAATGTACCAAAATCGTCATTCTGTCAAAGTCTGTGTATTATTCCGTTAAATCGAGGGACAAAACTGTATTTTTAGGTGACTATCCTCTTCTAAAACTACTTGGCCACTGTAGCATCCCAATCCCTCCCATTTATGTTAGAAGGCTCGATGCTTGTCCCCAAATTAGAACCCTAGGTTTGCAATGTCGGAGATTTCAACGTCAGAGATGTCAACGACATCAAGTGGGACGAGTCGGTACTGCGCCTGTGGGACGAAGATAATTCGTCGGACTTTGTGGACAGATTTGAACCCAGGAAGAAGGTTTGATGCTTGTGATAAAAATTGGGTAAGTTATTATTTGGGTTGCAAAAGTTGTTCTTTTCCATTTGTAATTGGTTGATAAGGTCTGAAATTGGGTAATATTTGATTTGCCAGAATAGCAGAAGAGGTATGCATTATTTCGAGTCGGTGGATAATGAAACTTGTCCAAGAGGAAAACAAGTGGTCCCTGTTTTGCTTAGAAGATTTAGAGCAATGGAGGAGGAAGGTAGATCAAAGGAAGAACAATTGAGAGCTGTGGAAGCAAAAAAGAAAGAAATGGTTCAAGAAAAAAAGGTTTTGGAATGGGGTCATGGGCAAAGACAATTGATAATGTGGGTTTCCTTGATTTTGTCTTGGGGTTTGTTTATAACATTTTTGATGAGTGGGAAGTTGTAATTGTTATGGGGTTTGTTTCTTTTGAATGTATGGGTTATGAAATGTGCATTAGTGTCCCTTGAATGTGCATTAGTGTTTTGAAATGTTCTTGAATTGAGGTTATTTGAATATCTGAGAGATACCATTTGAATATCTAGGAGATGCTATTCCATTGAGTACAACAAAGTAAAAGCCATTATATTGTTGACCACACAGGTAATTTACAAACTGGACATCCATATAAACATTCAAATTCCAATTACAAAGTTTGAGCACATGAAACTGAAGACCAGTTAGACCAATTACAGAATTCCAAATACAAAATGCACCTGCCTAGCAAAGTACATAAGTCAAAACAGACAACCAATTACACAGTTTGAGCAGTTCTAGCTCAAAACCAATTACACGAACTACACAAAATCTTCATGCCCAAAAAAGTAGCTAACCTAAAATAGCCAAGCAATTATAGAGTTTTAGCCCTTCAAACAAGAAACCAATTACACAGTCAAAAGTCAAAATCAGTCCCTTTTATCACAAAAGCCCTCTGGCCAGAAAATTACATATCCCAAAATACACAAAATAGGACAACCTTAGCAATAATTTCCCCTATATTGAGGCCATGTTATTATCATGGGAAAATGTTGTTCAAAGCTGGTCCTCCTTGTCCCCTTCCTCTTGCCACCTAAACAATGTAGTAATGTCAGATGTATAACAGTTGAAAAATTGGCAATTAGTGAAATGAGTAAGAAATGAACCAAATGACAAAAACCTATAGTTGATCGTGAAGATAGTAAGCCTCTTCCAGCCCCCATGCCTTTTCCTAAGCCTCTACCTCTAATTGCACTTAGCTTTGAAGATGGTAAACCTCTTCCTAAGCCAATATGTGAAGATGGTAAGACTTCTTGTCCATTACCTCCGGTCACCTGGAAAAGTTACTGATGTTTATTGTTTTCCAATGACATAAGCAATAAAAATTTGAAAAAAATAAGAAAATAAAGCTTACACTTTCTTGTGAATTTGGGTAAACAGGGGCTTGAGCAACATTGCCTCTTCCTCTACTTATGCCTCTGCCTCCTTCTCTATTACCTCTTGCCATCTAAAAAAAAATGACTTTTGCAATTTAAAACCACAACAACAACCAAAGCTTACACTTTGTAGAGAATTAGGGTCAGCAGTAGCTTGAGCAACATTGCCTCTTCCTCTACTTATGCCTCTGCCTCCTTCTCTATTACCTCTTGCCATCTAAAAAAAAAAATGACTTTTGCAATTTAAAACCACAACAACAACCAAAGCTTACACTTTGTAGAGAATTAGGGTCAGCAGTAGCTTGAGCAACATTTCCTCTTCCTCTACTTATGCCTCTCCCTCTGCTTATGCCTCTCCCTTTTACTGTGTTAGAAGAAGAACCATGCTCCATTTGGGTTGAATATGCATGAACCTGCAAATGTATAACAAAATTATTTATGTTCCAACAAATCATCAACTTGAACTAAACAAGGTGTCTAACAGCCATACCTGTTGGGTTTCTTTGTTTTGTTTGTCACATGTTGCCCTATTATGGCCTTTTTGACCGCATCCACGACATCTTATTTCAATGAAAACCCTTCTAAACTTGGCTAGTGGGGCAATATAATTTGGAGATATAAGGTTTGGTGGGATGGGGGCTGGTATTTCAACCTCACCAGGCTCCTTCGTCCTAACTCTTTTAGGCCTACCCGGTTGTTGCTTAAAAAGTAAAGGTTTAACTGGAAGAAGGCCACATTTACTCCATTGGTTCATTGAAGGGATTGGGTGAATCACTGGTTCATAAGCCTTCATATAAGTCTTCAGCTTATAACAAGCATCCACATAGGCAATTGGGTTTTCACATCTTTGAAATATTGCTGAGATTGCATGGGGACATGGTATTCCACATAAATTCCACCTCCTACAAGAGCATGTCTTTGCTCTAAGGTCTACAACAAATTCTCCACCATAAATGTGGCTCACTTGATACAATTGCTCACCAGCCAATCTAGGAATGCATTGTGATGAACCTAACTTGTTCTTCTCAATTATCTTGAAGATCCTAGGCCCAACAGAGTATCTCCAATTCTGATATGCAGACCTCCTACTAGCCATCCTAAGCATCACATACACCCTTATCCTCTCCAAGTAACTCAAAATTGTCTTATCCCTTGTATCTAGTATGGCTGCATTGAAACTTTCACATAGATTATTCAACAAAAGATCACATTTAAAATGTGATCCGAAGTGAGATCTGCTCCAATTTCTTGCAAGTCTCTTCTTCAACCACTTCCATGCTTCCTCATCCTCATTTTTCATCTTCTCCATTTCTGCCTCCCACCAAGGCACAGTTGTAGCTCTTGCTGCAGCCCATAATATATGTTTAAGAGCAAGACCAATATGTGATGCCCTAAAGTTACTGTACAGGTGTCTCACACATATCCTATGCTCTGCAGTTGGAAGTACTCTCTCAATGGCAAGTACAAGTCTATTTTGTTTGTCACTAATCACTACCCAAGCTTGTCCATTTGTAATCTCCAAATCTTCAATAAGAAGATTGAAAAACCAAATCCAAGAGTCTTTACTCTCAATATCAACCACTGCATAAGCTACTGGGAAATAACCATTGTTCCCATCCACCCCAACAGCCGTCAAGATCTGTCCAAGATAAGGCCCTTTCAAATGGCAACCATCAACACCAATAACAGGTCTGCAACCTTGTAAAAATCCCTTCTTACAGGTAGTCAAGCACACATATATTCTTTGAAACACTGTCTCACCCTTCACAATCTGAGTTTTAATCTTCACTGTACTACCCTAGTTTGCAGTTTTCAATTCTTCTGCATAATCCAACAATCTAGCATATTGTTCTTTGAAAGTACATTCATTTAAATCTCTGGCTAGCCTCTTTGCCCTATAAACTTGAAGTTTGGTGACATTTATTTTGTAATATGCCAACACATCTTGTTTAAATGATTTCAGATCAAAGTCTAAGTTGCGCCTCAGCATGTTTGCATATCTGTCACAAAGCCATTTTGATGTAGTATGCCTAAGCTTGTCCACTCTTCCACACTGATGTTCTAGGCTCAAAGTTTTTATAGCAAATGTCCCTTCCTCTCTATTAATCCTTAATCCATATACCTGGAAAGAACACCCTTTCACACGTTTAGCCTGAACTCGTCTGTTGTCGTTTTTTTTTCAATTTCACTTCTCTACCCTCTATAATTGCAAGCTCCTTGATAGCCTCTATCAGAAGTTTTTTGTTTGCAAACTTCATTCCTAATCTAAACTCAGGATTTTTCAAATCCACATCTCTTCTATACTGCTTAAATTTTGACAGTTTTATCTTTTTTCTGCCATTACCCTTAGAATCAGTCTCACTTCCATTGTCAAATTTTGACGTGTCAGCACCATCTGATGACACCTCTCATTGACCACCATGACTAGTCCCCTCATCTGCTACATTCTCTCCAACAGTTGGCCTGTCCTCTGCCTCATTGTCACTGAACTCATAATACTGTCTTTAATTTCTGAATCTGCATCTTCATCTTCATTTGGCAATTCTGCCCCTTCATTATCAATTGTCACATGTGCCCCTATATCTTCATTTGGTAATTATGCCCCTACAGTATCAATAGTGAAATGTGCCCATATATCTTTATTTGGTAATTTTGCCCCTGCATCTTCATTTGCCACTTTTGTCCCAACATTCTCAAAAGTCTCCTTAGCTTCAACTTCAATATAATCCACCCAATTCACTTGGTAATTCTGAGTCAAATCCCCATCACAATTCTCTGCATCTGCATCATACTCATAGTCTTCACTCTCACTATAGTACAACACAATAACCTTATTGGATGGTATGTGACCAACCATTTCAACCACTGTAGCATTCGATGTAACAAGCTCTAGTCCACCATCAGGATTTTTACACCTAATTTCCAAACGTTGCTCAACTTGAGAAATGTCAACCTCATACCCAAGACCTCTCCCAATTTTCAGTAAATCTAACAAGGACAGAAAATCCTCTATAAGATTGTCCAAATAACAAACCTTACCCATCTTATAAACCCCATTTTCAAACTAGCCCCCATGATGTAATTCTAGAGTGCACATTCCATTGTCAGCTGCAAAATTGAAACAACAATATGTTATTCTAAAGTTATAGTTTTGTTGTTAATGCTAACGACAACAAGGCAATAATTACTGAGTTGGGTATGAACCAGACAACTCAAGGGACCACAACCATTGAAAAAAAACACCATAAACCCTAAACATGCAGGAACCAGAACCAAGGGACCACAGACATAAAGCTTACACTTTACAGTCAATGTAGCAAAAGCCAAATCCACATCCACATACAAGAAAACGATTCCTTTACTTTTACTTTAAACATAAAACAACCAAAAAGTCAAACACAAACACAGAAAAAGGAATCTTTATAAAGAAACCACAGTTCCAGACAAGGACAACTCATCCATTTCCAAATAAAAACAACATAAAATGCATTATAGAAGCCTTTATCGTATTTGGGAGTCTGTCCACCCAAACGGAATTCGAACTCCATTATCAGCAACCAGTGAATTTCCCAAAATCTCCAAAAATCCCCAAAATCAAACCCTAACCCAAACTCTCAAATTCGAACTCCAAAACTAACACTGAAATTACACACTAACTTCACCAATTCAGCGACTCACACACTACTACAGCATCGACCAATTCAGCAACTCGCATTAGAATCCCTTTCACTTGATGGTTTTCGTGGGAAATGAGAGGCCTTCTCAAAATGTTGACGTATTTTTCAGGGATGTTCGCTCTGAGTGATATAGCTTCTCTAGAAGTCGCATATACCCTTCAAAACTCAGTCACGTGGCCATCACGTGATCGAAAGTGACGGACTCTGTCACGGAAGGACGATTTTGGTACATTAAAAAAAGTTTAAGGACGTTTGAATTGAAAATTTTAGTTGGTGGACCAAAATGATAATCGCGGGATAGTTGGGGGACCATTTAGGTCATTAACCTTATTTTTAACTACGTAGGTCAGGGAGGGCCTCTACAGATTAATTAATCTGATTGTACGTGTGTGGGGGATCATCAACGTGCATGTCATGTGATGATGTTACCGTCTCTTTAATCTTAATGCCATAATGCACGACCCGTTGTACTCTTGTTAGATCAATATAATTCGATAAATGGTATGTAGTTTTAAGTTTCCAAAATCCAAAAACAGCATAACAAAAAGATTGAAGGGTAGCTGTGGTTTTTAGAAGGAATTTTGTGTTCCCCCAGTTGGCAGTGCTGGACATTTATGTTTATAGTGGGATGAGAGCATTGAACTTGAGGTGAAGGGTTTCTCAAAAAAATTTATTGACACTTTTGTCACTAATAAGCAGAAGGGAGTGAAATGTAGGGCTTCCTGGGTATACGGATCTCCTTACAGAGATGAGAAGGATGAATGTTGACAACTTCTTGAAGATGTGTTGAGGCTTACTAATTTACCTTGGTTTTGCGGAGGCAACTTCAATGAAATTCTAAGGTCGTTTGAAAAGTATGGAGGAGCTGTGCACCCCTCAAACAGACCACGGTATTTGCCTGGTTTCATGGAGAAGGCAAATCTCATTGACATGGGGTATTAGGTTTCGAGGTTTACTTGGAGAGCACATAGACAAAACGGTCTCTTCGTTCAAGAAAGATTGGATATAGTTCTTGGGAATTTGCAATGGCAAGAAGCTTGGCCAAACACCTTAATTGCTCACTATCCTGCCATTGGATCAGATCATAATCCACTAGTCATGGAAATGGTCAGGCACCACAAAGCAGATAGGGCAGTTCAAATTTGAAGCTTATTGGTAGAGGAGGATGAGACAAAGCATATTATAGAAAGAGCTCGGGACAAACGGGTTCATGGTTCTTGGTTTCACAAGTGGCATACTAAGCTTCAACATTGCACTATCATACTTCAAAAATGGAGCAGAGAAATTTTTTCCAACAATAAGAGGAAGTCGGAAATATTACACGCTGATATTAAGGAAAACCAACTGCGGTGGGATGATAACCATGCAGATATTAGGCGCATCATTTAAGAGATAAACACAACATGGGCAAGAGAGGAACAATACTGGCAACAACATTCAAGGATTAAGTGGTTGTTGAAGGGGGATGCAAATACTTCTTTCTTCCATCGCTCAACTTTAGCTGTCGAAGACAAAATAGAATCCTGAGAATCAAAGGTAATGATGGCCAATGACATGTGAATGACTTTGCTATTAGAAGGGTGATTGAAGAGCATTTCAAAATCTTGTTCACCATCGAGGCGTGGTGCAACAATAGTGATATCCTTGACTGTGTGGATTGTGTGGTTACCTAAGCTACTAATGATAACTTGATGCAGGAAATTAATGTTTAGGAAATAAAAGAGGCTACAATGTAGATGAGGGGCTTAAAGGCACCTGGCCTCGATGGATATCAAGGTGTTTTCTACCACAAATATTGGAATATAATTCACAATGAAATTCGAGGTATTATGGAAGATTTCTTTGTCAACAACCGAAGCCCAGCATCCCTGAATAACACCAATCTTGTGTTAATTCTTAAAATTCCAAATCCTGAAGGTGTCACCCACTTTCGCCCAATTAGTATATGTAATTTCTCTTTCAAAATAATCTCAAAAGTCATGGCAAATAGATTGAAGGTGTTTCTGCCATAAATTATATCTTCTGCCTAGAATGCGTTTGTCCCAAATCTTCAAATCTAGGAGAATATCTTAATCGCTCATGAGGCTTTCCACATTCTGAAACTGAGAAAGACATAAAAAAGGTACGACTTGGGCATCAAGCTTGACATGAACAAGGTTTTTGACCGAGTGGAATGGCCTTTCCTTGAATTAGTCATGCTTAAGATGGGTTTCGATGCAAAATGGGTGAACTTGGTGATGAATCCTGTTCGAACTGTTCAGTTTTCTATTATTGTCGATGGGGAGTAGGGGAGTATCTTTATACCAACAAGGGAAATCCGACAAGGAGATTCATTTTCCCCGTACATGTTTTTGATTGTAAGTGAGATTTTATCCCTCATGATTAAGAAAACAAGTGAAGCTAATTATTTGCAGGGCCTCAGTTTTGGAAGGAATGGACCTATTCTCTCTCACCTCCTCTTCGCAAATGACACTCTCCTATTTTTTAAGGCCAATACTCAAAATTGCCACATCATGAAGCGCTTGTTGGATGACTATTGTAAAGTGTTTGGGCAACAAATCAACTTTAGGAAGTACTTGCTCGACAATGCTGGCAGCTACTTACCGAACTTGAATCCTTATGGGCTTAGCTAATCGAGGCTAAAAAGGTTAGCATGGATTTGTGGGCGTGGGCCGGCCTTATTGAAGGTAGAAGGGTGATCCTAAATGGAGCAAGATGACAAATTGTGAATGGTGCAAAAGCGCGATCTGGTCAGATAAATGGATTACCAACATTCATGGAGGGGAATTGAGTCCATATCCAGATACAACCATTGACTGAAGCGCTACTGTGGAGACCATAATTGATTGGAATACTAGATCATGGAATCTGGACTCAATTCGCCTATTAATTTTGAATGAGGAGACTAATGCAATCCAACTCATCCCCATTGGCATCACTTTGGAAATGGATCATTTAGTGTGGCCGAGCGAGAAAAATGGAAAGTACTCGGTAAGATTTGGCTATCACAACATTCACACTTCTCATCAGTGGACTTCCCTGAGAAGGCCATCTCAATCTATCTTGATTGACTTAAAGGTTTGGAAGTTGATTTGGCATACCAACGTCCCACTAAAGGTTCGACATTTTCTTTGGAAAGCTCTAAATGGTCACATTGTTGCCTCCTCTGTCCTACATAAGAAGAAATTGCGACCCTCTCATCTATGACCTATGTTGGTACTGTAACTGACCGAGCAACTAGCTTGGCTAGATCATCCACATGCCATGCTTTGAGAGGTCATCACCTTAGCCAAAGAAGCATTACCACAAGTCACAACTCTAAGCAAAGCAAGAGGAGTCCCACATCGGAAAACTACAGGAAGTGAAGACACCCCCTCACCTATAAAAGAAGACGACTTTCCACTTAGAAAAGGGTCTTGGATCCTAACCCTTGGGCCTTGGACTCTCTTTTGGATCCCAGGACTGGGCTGGGCTTCCGCACTCTTATCTTTATATTTGGGTCCAACCCCATGTACAAATGTAATCATACATTATTATAATGCTAACATACTTCTTCGTGGACGTAGCCCATTCATTAAGGGTGAACCACGTATATCTCGTCTTCTTTATATTTATCGCTTGCTCAAATCTTCACACACATGCTGAAGGTCCTCACCTTCACCCATCATCCACCATTCCACATCTCTTTAAGTTGACCTCCCAAAAAGAGTATCAACAACTTATTTGCAATGATGAGGAGGAATCTGTTGAGCATATGCTCCTTCTCTGTCCTTGGGTAGAGCCGGTATGGTTTGGAGGCCTTTTAAACTAGAGAATCGACAAGCATGACATCTCCACTTTGCATCAGTGGTTGCGAGATTGTGTTACTGTGGGACTTAACACCAAGGAGGAGAGAAACCGTGTTCTGGATCATATTGCACTCACATCTTGGACTATATGGAAAATTGGGAATAGGGCAGTCTTCGACAATTGGAACCCCCATCCCCAAAGGGCTCTCAAATCTATCTCGGACCAAGTGAACAAAGGGTTATTACTGAAGCATAAAATTACTCATCCTACTCTGGGGAATAACCGTCAAACTCCACAAGTTAGGTGGATTGCTCTTCCCGCTTCTCTTGCCAAAATCAATGTTCATGCTGCTTGGCATCAGGGCTCTTGCAGTGCGGGGGTTAGCATTATAATTCGCAACTCTGAGGGGAGTTTTATGGGGGCAAAATCTGTCTCTTTCCATGCGGAGACTGTGTTGAAGATAGTTGCTCTTTTGGAGGGATGCAAATTTGCAAGAGAACGAAATCTCACTAAGGTATTGTAGGGGACTTTTTTCTTCCTGCAGCTAACGGGCTGGGCTGCTGTAAAAGGCGGATTGAGGAGATTGCCCCTTTTTGTTTAGGTTCGAAAATTAAGCCCCAAAATACTTTGAAAGAGCAGCGAAACCTTAGGAAATATTTTGGATAATCTTCACCAATGAGAATAATAGTGACTTGCAGATAGTTTTGGCATGCTTACAGATGGTATTTTAGCTCAGCATGAGTGGCATGAGGCATGGGGAGCAAAACCAACATGGGTTTAGCACTAAGAGAGAAATTAGGCTTGGTTTATGGGAAATGAAAGTGTTTAAGTAAGGGATGAAGTGTTTTGTGAGGAATTTTGACTAGAGAAAGAGAAAAAAAGAAAGGCAGGGTTCTTCCGGCAGCTGCCAGAAAAAACAAATTGGAGAAGAAGATGAACAGTGCACGAGTCTGAGTTTTGCAAGATAGAGAGAAAAGCTTGCTCTCTGCAGGTTGTGAGTTGAGTTTGTTGGGTAGGGGAAGGCTCAATTTATAGCTGCCGGAAATCACCATTTTTCAAGAAACCCTAATGGCTTCTACTTACTTTGGCTGAGCTTTTCTTCCTTTCTCCTCCCCTTCTCTGACTTCCCTTTCTTGGCAAAGATTGCTTTTGTCTATTTTCATGAATTCAGGGGATTTGGGGGCTCAACATCCTCCTTTCCCGCGGCTGTGCAATGAGGGCTTCCACTCTTGGTTTGCTGTTTTTTCTTCTTTTCTTTCCTCTTTCGTGGCTGAATCTGATGGAGGAAAAGAGGTGAAAATATATGCTGGTCCAAGGGATGCTTCTGACAGCATGCGGGATGGTATTCATTGGTTCTTTGGATGTCTCTGACTTGGGACTGGTTTCCAGCAGCTTTGCTTAAGGAGCCTGCCATCTACTCCTTCACGTGTTCTCTGTTTTTCAAAAGGGCTGAAGCTCTTGTGGGCTATTTTGGGTTTTTCTAAGGGCCAAGATGGCTTTCTAAGCAAATGGGCTTGTTGGGCTTCTTGATTTGGGCTTATTATTTTTTTTGGTTGGGTTATCTCTTGGCTAGGTTATTTTGCTTGGGCTTTTGGGCTATTTTTCTCTCTTGTGCTTACCCACATGTTTGGGCCTAAGAAATGGGCTTGAGTCTCGAGGCTCCCAAGCAACCCGAGACTTTCCATTTCTCGGTCCATCAATGGGTCTCATGTTGATTTATCACCATCCATGCCACAACCCACTCAAGCAAGCCCCGGGTCCTTTTTTGAGTGGCTTGGGCCCACCTAGGCTTGTAGCGTGGTTGGGTGCGAGATAACGGCATGGCATGTTGCTCGGCATATTTTACCTTATCGCCCTTGGGAAGGATTGTTTTAATTTTTAGCATGAGTTAATTATATTTTATCGCGAATCATAGCATGATAATTTGTTTATTTAGCGTGGCATGTGGATTATAACTCGCATGCGATAGATCCTTTTTTCTTTTCCCTTATGGAATACTGTATTGGGCTGATAGTTGCTCGGGCCCAATCCATGGATTTTTTGGGCCTCAACAGGTATGCTTTGAGTCTGACTCTTTAGAGCTAATTAAATGTGTCAAAAGGAATATTGACAGAAAGATGGAACCTTTATCCCGTCCTTACCCTCGTCCGTGAGGAACAACGGGGATTTGAGTAGTGTTTATGGACTTGGACTAATAGGATTGGCAATCAAGCGGCGGACAATCTTGCGTCGCTGGCACTTTCGAGGAGGAGTACGGAACTTTGGGTTGAGAGACCCTCCACCTCTCTTGTGCCCATTCTAAGTAAGGATGGCCTTCACTGCCCTTATCTCTCCTAGGTGGGTTGCAACTGGTCTAGATATTGTTTTTGATGCCCTTGCATTTGGACTGTCTGTCATGTTCTTTTTCATCTTGATCAGTCTAGTTTGTGGCATGGTATCTTTGGTTTCATGCGTTTGTGTTTGCATGGGCTGTTTTATTACTGATTGTACTGGTCTCCCTTTTGGAGCTTTCTTTAGTAATGAATCATCATCTTTCTTCAACCAAAAAAAAAGAAAAAAGCCACACGTAAGTAAATACGTAGGTCTCATTTGTATATTTTTGTACACTGGACCGTATATTCTATATACAGCCCAATCAAAAGCTACGTGGACCATAGCCTTATTGATCAAAAGGTTGGTTTCTCATGTTTGGGCTTCCTTGTAGGTTGGCCCAATCCAAACTCGCTTTTTTTAAAAGAATTTTTTATTTATTTAAAAATTATTACGTAATGCTATCAGAAGCTAACTCCAAAGTCCAGAACCCGGACCCGGAAAAAGGAAATGACCAAAAAGGGCTTTATGTTCAATTTGCACCGAACTACAAAAGCCGGCAAGCATTGACTAATTTCATGAAGGAAGAAGGGTAATTGTGTCAAGATAAGCGTCAAACCGTCGTCAGGTTCCCCATCTCCTGCCTGCCTCTCAGCTTCCAAGTCCCGGTGAAGTTGAAGACCGTAAAAACATCTTCAACCTCACGCGGCCTTCGTTTTTCCATTAACATGGACAACGGAAATTCCCATCCTGCCCTTGTGTCCTGCACCGACGACCGCATCAAGCTCAACGTCGGCGGCAAGTTCTTCGAAACCACCTTGTCAACGATGCAGGCCGGCGGACCCGACTCTCTCTTAGCCGCCCTATCGAACCGCTCCACCGACGACCCGAACCCGGTTTTCATAGACCGGGACCCGGAGATCTTCTCCGTCATCCTGTCTCTTCTCCGATCGAACGGTCTGCCTTCAACGGCTCGCCGATTCTCCAAGCAAGAGCTTGCCGATGAAGCCCTCTACTACGGCATCGAGTCGCAGCTCAAGTCGGCTATGTCACCGCCTCCTTTCTCCGGTATCGACGCCTCCATCGTCACTACCGTCCAACCAGCCTCCGATGGCTGCCCCTCAGCGATCGCCACCGGCGACGATGGCTCCGTCTGGATTGCCCATGGCGGCCAGCTGTCGAGCTACGATTGGAATCTGAGCCATTCCGGAACGATTCGAACGCATTTGGAGGACATAACCTCGATTTGTCGAGTGTATCCTGACATCGCCGCCGTAGGATCCGAATCATCTGCGGGGCTTTACTTCTACGACTTCTCCGGCGTGCGAAACCTCGGGTCGATCCACTGGACCGACCCGAACGATCCGAGAATCTTCAAGGCCCGAGTCACCGCCATTGCCGACTCGCCGGGCTCGGTCTTCGCGTCGTTCGATTGCCCGCACCGAGAGAATTGCATACTCTTGATCGACAAATCCACGCTGAAGATTGTGTCGGAGCTAAGCCGGCAACCGGGGAGCTCGGCGAAGAACCTAGCCGTTGGAAAGCTGAGGTGGCTTCCAGAGACGAGCATGGTCGTGGGGAGCTCGGTCACGAGCGGCGCGTTTGGGTACTCGGGGTATATCCGAATTTGGGACCCGAGGGCGAATGAGATGGTTTGGGAAGCGATCGAGCCGGGTTCGGGTCGGAGCAGTAGGTTCGGGGACTCATTCGCTGACGTGGATGCCGACGTCGAAGAGTCGACCCTGTTCAAGGTGTGTTCAAAGTCTGGGGATTTGGCAGTGGCAGACTTGCGTAAATTAGGCGATGATCCGTGGGTTTATTTACAAGACAAGAACCCGAGCATGAGGAACACAAGCGGCGATCGGCCTGTTGGCCATAGCAGTAGTGTAATTCGCTGTTACAGAAAGCAAGTGTTTGTTGGGAGGGAAGGTGGGTTGGAGGTTTGGTCGAGAGTGGCAAAAGCAGAAAACTGGGTGGCAATAGAAAATGGGGTTTGTGAGGGGTGGTATAGGAGGAATTTTGTGGATAAAGTTGAGGATTCTGAGAGAGGGGTTATACAGAAAATCGAAGGCGGCGGAGATAGGCTCTTTGTGATAAGAGAAGAAGTTGAAGGTGTTGAGGTTTGGGAGAGCTCTTGTTCTTCTGGTGCAGTTTCAGTTTTGTGATTAAAAAGGAGGCTCTGTAATATCAAACACTGTATTGGTACTATGTTTTGCGTTTCTGGGCATATTGGCATTGTGGCACATTGTCTCCTTTACCTGGTATTTTCTTACGTAATTACATGCTAAGAGAGGAGTTACCTTGAAGGAAAGTTGGTATGGAGTGGAGGAATGTCAACAATGAGAAGTTTGCATCATTCACATGATTGGAGGCTTTCAATTAGCTTAGTCTCATTTGTAAGCACTTTTAGATTCCATCGTTACTCTAATCAGCAGTGCTTTCGTTTGTTTGTTGGTACCGTTGTTACACTCATCTCATTGTTTAGAGTTTAATCTGCAGAAGTCAGGGCCAGTGATTGCAGACATGTACGTCAACAACGCATTTGCAAATTGCTGGTATGTAGACGCATTTTGAGACACTGTGATCTGCTTCTTCGCTTGACCTGCATTTTACCTTATTTGCCTCTGAGATCTTCTCTTGATGTTAGTTTGTAAAGTTGATGTATACTTTTCCATGCCATTTTCTTTGTTCTTACTTGCATGATATTCTGCATTATCGCTTAGGTAGACATTCTACACAAAGTGTAATGCTCAAAAGAATTAGTAATAATCACACTAACTATGCACATACTTGCACAATTCACACAGGAATAAAACTTGCAGTAAGATTTGTCCAACATTGTCTAATTTATATTTCTTTTTAGTTTCCTTTAATAATTAAGATTTGAAATAATTTGCCTTAAATTTGTGACTTCTCACACCAGGGGACCAAAACTCTTCTCGTGCAGGGGTTTGGGATTTTTGTCAATGTCAATACCGCCAGTACTTTCTAAAGCCACAAGCACCTGCAGTGTATATGAGACTGAATGCGTAGGTAACAAACAGAAAATCCTCTTCTACATGGTTCTGGTTCGAATAGCCATAGGATTTATTTTTATTTTTCGTGAACTGAAGCCATACGGTGCAAAGTGACAAAACCTCTCTCTACTTTGCAGATAAGCAAATTGCGGAAATTTTTGGTCTCTTAACTTAAGCATGCAACCATGTGCACTGCAAGGTTGCCCATCTACTTTGAATGTCCCTCGGCCAGTTGGTTTATCAGGAGGCAGAATTGGGGTTTGCCACATGATTTAATCCCCTAATTTCCGATTGTTTGTGGCAAATCAAGATCAAGAAAGGTAACTTCCCCAGTTGGAACATCATTTGTACTTTCCGTAGTAAGTTGTGTTATTGCTCTACAAGCTGATACTAGGGAAGCTAGATATGGTTATGAACACGGTATGATTGACAAGATCCATGAGGCCATCCGCATGAGTCTGTTCTGGGTTCTTACACACATCTTCTCCTTGGAGCCATTAATAGAATTCGTGATATGAGCTGTGCTGGTATTTTCAAGGGTTTATTAGTGAAAGAGATGACTAGCAGGTACTTGATCGATGTTCATTTGGTGTGCAAGTGGATTGATGTTCAGAAGACAAGGAAACACCTGGCCGCTACCAGGGCATGAGGAAACTAATGAGCGATTTGATGATTTGTTGTACAAATATGATTATCAGAATGAGCAGATAAGTGGTGTATGAAGTCAATTGCAGAATGGTATGTGCTGCTGGGTGTCATTGATCCGCAGATAATGTATTCGTCAGCAGTGTATGAAATCTGTTACCAGATAATGAAATACCCTCCTTATGCAATGCAAGCAATATCTTTAACAATTTTACTATTGTGAGGTACAACTCCAATCTTCAAAATCTCAATCATGAAGAATTCTTTTAATTATTTATTTATACTCGTTTTTATTTTTAAATAAGCACCTGAACCAATCATAGAGGCAGGGCTGTTTTAAATACGAGCTTCGTAGTATCATACTCAACTCAATTAACTAAAATATTTGTCTTCAACTTTTTATTTTATAAAAAGTCAGAAACCAAGGGACTGAAAATACGAAAATATTTGTCTTCTAAAATTGGCGGCAGAGCAGAATGTCAACGTGTGGAGTTTGGACATCAATATCCTCACGCGGCAGGGAAGAACATGACTCATTCTTCAAACTCATCACTAAGTTTGGATGTTTATTAATTAAACTTCTGCTAAATTAGATTATTAAGAGGAATGCAACATAACAATTTTGATTATTTGTTTGCTACACTGGACAGGTCTTTTCTTCTTTAGTTAAAAAGGAAAAAACCTTCTAACTGTGCAAGTTCTGTGAACTAAATTCTTCCATTGGCAAAACTCTGTTAGGCTGCTGTTCTTTCTTTCTTCCTCCCCAACTGTTCCTCCTCACAAAGTGAGATATTATAAATGTTAACTTTGGTGAAGATCACTGGTAACTAGACATAGCTACCCTTTGAGCCATTACTTGTTATATGTTTGCATTAACCTAAACTTTTTTTTTATCTAATCTTCCATCATGCATAGCATTTTCTTTAATTCTTTTGCTTCTGCTCCTAAACTGTACGTAGTGCTGACATGGGCGGATGTCCTCGCTGCGTATGCAATGTGGATGACCATGGTATACTTAACTGAGGTATGGAAGCTCAATTTCACACATGCTGCTGCAATTGTCAATTTGTACTGGGGCATTGTAGCCGTACTACCAGTGGGCTTGCAATTTCTTGTGGATGCTTTCATGGGTAACTATTGGATGGTCTTGGTCTCCAGTTTCGCCTACAGTGCTGTAAGTTAATTTCTTCCAGTCAATAAATCACTGTCATTCAGTACCATATTAATCATTTTCGACTGCAGGGCTTGGGTTTTTTGTCAATGTCAACACCACCAGCTCTTGCTGGGGCAACAGGCACTTGCAGTGCATATGAGCCGGAGTGCATAGGCCAAGGACAAAAAATCCTCTTTTATACAGCAGTAGCTCTAATAGCTGTGGGAATGTCTGGTCACTTAACCTCGTTAGGGGCATTCATTGCTGAGCAGTTTACGGACTCACAATCAGACCTTGAAGACAGCATGCCGTGTCACTTTTTCCTGAGCTTCTTGATGGTGATCCTCATCCCTATAGCTGGAGTTTTTGCTATTTATTATATAAAGCCTTGGTCAATTAGGTATGGCATCCCAGCCATATGTACCTTGGTAGCAACACTTATTTTCTTGACTGGTTCGTGTTCATATCACACTCATAGAGCACAAGGCAGCCCTCTCACTACTCTGTTTAGGGTGTTTGTGGCCTCTGCCTCCAAAATATTCAGAAGATGCCCGAGAGATGCCTCTCATCTCTATGAAAAACGTGATGATGGTTATCAGATATCTCATACTCATCGCCTCAGGTTTTGACTCTTCTATTTTCGATATGACACAACACATGAGCACATGCACATAAAAGAGTGAAACTAATGGCACCCTTGCAACATATTTTCTTTGATTGTTAAGAGAAATACCCGACACTTTTTTTTCTTTATGTATATGAAATTTAGGTGTCTAGACAAGGCTGCGATTATATCAGCCACCCAACCTCTAGAGCAACAAGAAAATAATAGGTGGAGGCTTTGCAGAGTCACAGAAGTGGAAGAAACCAAAAGCATCCTATGCATGATTCCCATATGCACAACCTTTATCCTAATGGGTGTTGTATCTTCTATTGGAAATACCTACTTTATCGAGCAAGCAACCCACATGAATCGAAAAGTTGGACGCATAAAGGTTCCTCTTCCAATCCTTCTATGGTTCTATGACCATGCCAAACAACAATTTGCCAAAAGCTACTTCCAAATTGGAGGACTAACAAGGTATGGCCCCCCAATTGGAATTGCTGTGTCAATGATATTTGCAATTCTATGTTGTATCACAGCTGCAAAAGTGGAGACAAGAAGGTTAGGTGCGGTTAAGAGACACGGTCTAATTGACAAGCCTGAGGAAACAATTCCCATGAGCATCTTTTGGTTGCTTCCACAGTTTCTTCTCCTCGGAGGCCTTGATGGGATTGCAGACAATAGCATTGGTTGGTTCTTCATTAATCAGGTCCCTCCATCCATGGCTCGGTACATGGTTCTATTTGCTATTGCTCTTTTTGGAGTGGGGATTATGGGCAGTGTCTTGTCAGTTTATTTAGTGGGTGAGATAAGTGGAAGGGGAGGGAAACCCAGTTGGTTCCAAGCGACTCTAAACAAGAGTCGTTTGGATCAATATTATTGGACCTTGGCTGCATTAGCTGCAGCTAATCTTGTTCTGTATGTTTTGATCAGCATTTGGTATGCTTATAACGATTTAAGGTCGGAGGACAACGAAGCACCTGATTATGGGGAAACTGCTGAGCCATTTGATGATAATGTGCAATGCTGCTGCTGTTGCGCATAGATTTTCCTACGGATATGCATATGTAGCCACGTTTCTTCCACAAATATAAATCTTTTCACGTTAAATCAAGAAAAGAAAAAAATAAGATAATGATTTTATCTAAGAAATGCATGGTTTGTATAATGATGCACTCTACTTGTTGGGGTTGCTATTGGATTTGTACCTATTGCTAATGAGCCATTTGGTTCCAAGACACTCTGAACAAGTACATGCGTTCTTTATATTTACAGTGCAAGTGAAAGCTCCATTCAAAGAAACCTCTGCAAATGACATTCCCTCCCTATGCAAGCAATATTTTTAACAAATTTGACTAATGTGAGGTGCGCAACTCCAATCTTCTCAATCTCAATCATGAAGCATTCTTTTTATTATTTATTTATACTCTTTTTTAAATAAGCACCTTATCATTGAGGCAGGCTGTTTTAAATATTAGTGTGGTTTTGTCATCCTCAACTCAATTAACTAATTTATTTGTATAACTTTTTATTTTATTTTATTGATTGATTGTGATGATATCTGATAATTAGTGTTTAATAGTCAACCAATTAGTGATTCTCTTTCTTGTGTTGTAAAAACTATTAGCATAATTGTAGGCATTAGTGAAGGATCTGGTTTCCTGCTTTCTAGTATAAAGCTGAAGCAAATCCTTGAGGAACTCAAATCAATATCAATTCAGTTCTTCACATATGCCTTTTTTTTTTTTTTTTTTTTTTTTTTTTTTTTAAGAAGAAAAACCGCGGTTCAAATCCTCAAGCGATAACTAAAAATGTCAACCTTTGTTCATATGGAGGCTTCGCTCATCGTGTTGAAAGTCGATTTGCCCAAGTGGACTTCCATGCCTAAGTTCCGGTCAATGGGGTTTCTTCAGATCCAAGCATTCAAATTTTGACTGTTAATGTATTTCTTTGAAGGATGTAAAGAAATTTTGTCTTCTAAAGTAGGTGGCAGAGCAGAATGTCAACTTCTGGAGTTTGGACATCAATGTCATCATTAATTTCATACAAAGGAGGCAGGGAAGAACATGACTCAATCTCCAAAGTTAAATTAAAATATTGAGAAGAATATAACATAATATTTTTGAGGTCTTATCTTCTTTACTTAAAAAGGAAGAATCCTTCTAAATGTCTAAGTTCTGTGAATTAATCATTTCACTGGAGAAACTTGATCGGTTAGGTTGCTGTTCTTTCTTTCTTCCTCCCCAACTGTTCTCAGTCCTCCTCACAGAGTGAGATATACAGCACACACTTAGAAATGTTAGCTTTTGTGCAGATCAATGGTAAACAGACCTCGCTACCCTTTGAGTCACTGCTTGTTATATGTTTGTATTATTCCGAACTTCTTATTCTAATCTTCCATCATGCCTGACATTCTCTTTCAATTCTTTTCCTTCTCCTCAACTGTGCGTAGCGCTGCTGTGGACTGATCTACTAGCTGCATATGCAATGTGGATGACCATGGCATACTTAACTGATGCATGGAAGCTCAACCTCAAGCACGCCGCTGCAATTGTCAATTTGTTCTGGGGCATGGTGGCCATAATGCCAGTGGGCTTGCAATTTGTTGTGGATACTTTCATGGGTTACTATTGGATGGTCTTGCTCTCCAGTTTTTCCTACATCGCTGTAAGCGTTTTTCAGTCACAAAATCACTGTAATTCTAAGCAGAAAATGATCACCATATATTTAATCATTTTGGAGTGCAGGGCTTAGGTTTTCTGTCAATGTCAACACCACCAGACCTTGCTGCTGCAACAGCCACTTGCAGCGCATATGATCCCGAGTGCATCGGCCAAGGGCAAAAAATCCTCTTTTTCACAGCTTTTGCTCTAATAGCTGTGGGATTTTCTGGTCACTTAGTCTCTGTACCACAATTCATGGCTGACCAGGACTCACACTCAAACCGTAGAGACAGCAGCCTCCGTCACTTGGTCATAAGCTTTATGGTGATCCACGTCCCTATAGTGGGAGCTTTTGCTATTTATTATATAAAGCCTTGGTCAATGAGGTATGGCATCCCTGCCATATGTACCTTGGTAGCAACACTTATTTTCTTGACTGGTTCGTGCTCATATCGCACTTATAGACCATACGGCAGCCCTCTCACTGTTCTGTTTAGGGTCTTTGTGGCCTCTGCCTCCAAAATTTTCCAGAAACACCCCAGAGACTCCTCTCATCTCTACGAGAGACGTGATGATTATTACTTGATACCTCACACTCGTCGCCTCAGGTTTTGACTCTCTCTCTCTCTCTCTCACATATGCTTGCGCATGTTTATGCACACAAGCACATAGATGCATACATGTGTGCAAATAGTCACCCTAGTACAACATTTTAAACCCACAAATTACTTATTGAAATTTAGGTGCCTAGACAAGGCTGCAATCATATTAGCCACCCAACCTCTACAGCAACAAGAAAATAATAGTTGGAGACTTTGCCGAGTCACAGAAGTGGAAGAAACCAAAAGCGTCCTATGCATGATTCCCATATGCATGACACTTATCCTAATTGGTGTTGTATCTTCAATTGGAACTAGTTTCTGCATTGAACAAGCAACCCACATGAATCACGAAGTTGGGCGCATAACAGTTCCTCTTCCAATCTTAGTATGGTTCTATACTCTTGCCAAACAACTATTTGGAAAACTTAACTTCCAAATTGCAGAACTAACAAGGTATGGTCCCCGAATTGGAATTGCCGTGTCAATGATTTTTGGAATTCTATGCTCAATCACAGCTGCAAAAGTGGAGACACGAAGGCTGGGCGTGGTTAAGAGCCACGGTCTAATCAACAAGCCTGAGGAAACTGTTCCCATGAGCATGTTTTGGTTGCTTCCACAGTTTCTTCTCCTCGGAGGCCTTGAAGGGATTGCAGAAAGTAGCATTGATTCGTTCTTAGTTAAGCAAGTCCCTCCATCCATTGATCCGTGCATGGTTCGGTTTTGTGTTGCTTTTTTGGGAGTGGGGAGTATAGGCGGTGTCTTGTCTGTTTATGTAGTGGGTGAGATAAGTGGACAGGGAGGGAAACCCAGTTGGTTCCAAGACACCCTAAACAAGAGTCGCTTGGATAATTATTACTGGACCTTGGCTGCATTGTCCGCAGCTAATCTTGTTCTCTATGTTTTGGTGAGCTTTTGGTATGCTTACAAGGATTCCAGGTTGGAGGATTATGAAACTGCTGAGCTATTTGATGAGGATCATGTGCAACTCATTTGATAATGACAATGTGGAACTCTGCCACGCATAATTTTGTATATACGGTTTATATAACATCTCTTATATCTTTTCTTGGACGAGATTATGTGATTACATTTCCACACCTGTGATGAGTACATAGTTGTAAAGATTTGTATTGAAAAGTGATGTTGAATAAATGTGATACAGAGTACTTGCCACTTAAAGCTCTGTGATGTCATTGCTTTTCCTACAGCAGGCGGTCATATGATCAGTTGACTAGCATTTTTGGTCGAAGCATACTCGACATTTTCTGTAAAATATGCCGTCTTTAACGACAGCTCAATTCTCATGTGGATGGAGGAGGCCAACATATTTGTATGTGTGGATAAGTAATTTTCAACTTGAAGGATGAAGTTATATTTTGTTTTCTAAATAAAGTAAGCTGGTAGAGCAGAATGTCAACTTCTGGAGTTTAGACACAAGTACGTACTTTGAAATAATGGTTTCGTAGGAAAAACTCTGTTAGGCTGCTGTTCTTCCTAAAAGTTCTGTACTGTACTTGGAAATGTTATCATCTGTGCTGAAGACAATTTTAACCCGTGGCTACATCAAAAGAAAGGTGGTTGTGGCTATTTTATCTTCTTCTTTTTTTCTTTTTTTCTTTTATTTTTATTCATACTAAGTTGATAGGTTGTGATATGTGTTTGTGTCATAATCTGTACTTTTGCCCGTATTTGGGCCCAAATTTATCATAGTCAAATTGTAGGTTATATCGAGTTTATTGAATATACATATTCATCGGTCATGAATAAGTGACTACATTTTGATACATGTGAAATGTGAAAGAAACAATATTTGAGAATTTAATCATGCTATGATATTTGGTTGGAGTTCTTGAGTTGAAAAATAAAAGGAAACGAGGGTAATGAATCGCAAAGTTGGACGCATAAAGGTTCCTCTTCCAATCCTTCTATGGTTCTATGACCACGCCAAACAACAATTTGCCAAAAGCTACTTCCAAATTGGAGGACTAACAAGGTATGGCCCCCCAATTGGAATTGCTGTGTCAATGATATTTTCAATTCCATGCTGTATCACAGCTGCAAAAGTGGAGACAAGAAGGATAGGCGCGGTTAAGAGACACGGTCTAATTGACAAGCCTGAGGAAACAATTCCCATGAGCATCTTTTGGTTGCTTCCACAGTTTCTTCTCCTCGGAGGCCTTGATGGGATTGCAGACAATAGCATTGGTTGGTTCTTCATTAATCAGGATCGTTCCTCCATCCATGGCTCGGTACATGGTTCTATTTGCTATTGCTCTTTTTGGAGTGGGGATTATGGGCAGTGTCTTGTCAGTTTATCTAGTGGGTGAGATAAGTGGAAGGGGAGGGAAACCCAGTTGGTTCCAAGCGACTCTAAACAAGAGTCGTTTGGATCAATATTATTGGACCTTGGCTGCATTGGCTGCAGCTAATCTTGTTCTGTATGTTTTGATGAGCATTTGGTATGCTTATAACGATTTAAGGTCGGAGGACGATGAAGCCCCTGATTATGGGGAAACTGTTGAAATATAAGTGCATTTAGCTGAAATGTTCATTTAGGTTCATTAAACTGCTTAGCTGTGTAATTAACTGTGAGCCATTGGATTATAGTTCAATGGACGGCTAGGATATTAAGTTGTAGTGAGAGTGTGTGTAGTTGCCATGTGTCTCTATCTCATAGGGTAGAGATTGGATGGTTAGATTGAGCTGATGTAAGAGAGGAATATTCTTATTCCTAACGGTTTTATATCAAGCATGTAGCGTGCGTGTTGTGTGTGGCATGTAAGAGTGAGATAACAGACTCACATTTTGCATCTATCAATTTTGCTCTCTTCTCTCAAATTCTCTCTGTGTTCTTCATTCATTTTCAAACCCTGAGCTCCCTATACCAAAATCCAAATCTAAAAGCAGATTATAGTCTGGTATTTCAACATGGCCTCAGAGCCAAGTTCCTTCGTCTAAACTGGGCGTGGAATCTGTGAAGTACGATTGAGCTGGTCCTGAGGTCGAATCGATTCTGGAAGCTGCGATTTCTCTGTGGTCGAGTCTAATATGGCTGGATCTGGAGGTGGTGAGCTGAGAGCCCCGATCTTCAATGGTGAGTGAGAACTATGAGTTCTGGAGCATACGGATGAAAACCATCTTCAAGTCTCATGGGCTTTGGGAATTTGTTGAGAAAGGGGTAGAGATCTCAGTTTCGAAGGGAGCTGCTGGATCTGATGAGAAGAAGAAAGACAAGGAGGACTCAAGTAGTGCTGAGAAGATATCTCTCACAGAGGCACTTATGAAAGATTCTAAAGCTCTTGGACTAATCCAAGGAGCAGTTTTTGAGGAAATTTTTCCTAGGATTGCTCATGAAGAAACCTCAAAGGGAGCCAAGAATCTCTTGATGCGAGAATTTCATGGAGACAAACAAGTGAGAGGTGTAAAATTACAAAGTTTACGAAGAGATTTTGAATATACTAGGATGAGGGATGATGAATCTTTGTCTACTTATCTTGCAAAACTGTTTGATCTTATAAATCAAATGAGAAGTTATGGAGAAGAATTACCTAAGGGAAGAGTAGTGCAGAAATTTTTGATTAGTTTGCCTGCTATGTATGATCCTATATATTCTGTGATTGAGCATTCGAGGGATATAGATACAATTGAAGTTCAAGAGGTTGTTGCCTCATTGAAAGGTTTTGCACAGAGATTGGAGAGACACACTGAGCCTAAAACTGAGAAAGCATTTGCTAGTCTCAGTGTGAATTCTAAAACTGATAAACCTACAGGAAAGCAGAGTGCTAAAGATCAAAAGAGTTGGAAGACAAGAGACAAGAAGTGGGAAAACAAATCCACTGATGGTGCTAAGAATCCATGTAAGCATTGTGGAAAATTTCATTATGGAGAATGTAGATTTAAAGGAAAACCAAAGTGTTACAACTGTGACAAGTTGGGACATATTGCAAAAGACTGCTATAGCAAGAAACCTGCACAGCAACAGCTGAACTATGCAACTCAAGCTCCTACTGCACCAACTATGTTTTTTGTCAACAATGCATATGATAAAAGGCCTATGGAAGATGTTTGGTACTTGGACAGTGGTTGTAGTAACCACATGACTGGCAGGGAGGATGTTTTGGTTGACATTGATAAAAGCATAACGGCAAAGGTTGCAATGGGAACAGGACAGTTGGTTGATGTCTTGGGAAAAGGAAGTTTGGTAGTTGACACAAAGATGGGAAAAAGATATATCAAAGAAGTGATGCTTGTATCTGGTCTCAAGGAGAATTTGCTTAGTGTTGGACAGATGATGGAACATGGATACTTTCTGATTTTTGGAGATAGCAAAGCAGATGTCTATGATGATGGCTCACTGTCTACTCTGGTGGCTAGAGTACAGATGAAAGTGTATGTCACTAAGTTTTGATTTGGCATAGGAGGATGGGGCATTTAAACTTCAACAGTTTAAAATTACTGCAAATGAAGGAATGGTGTTAGGACTGCCAGAGATTAAAGCCACAAGTCATGTGTGTGAAGGGTGCACTTTTGGAAAACATTGCAGGGAATCTTTTCCAAAAGAAGCAACAAGCAGAGCTGCGAGTCCACTTGAATTGGTACACATGGATGTTTGTGGACCAATGCAAACTACTACAAAGTCAGGAAATAGGTATTTCCTTACATTCATAGATGATAGCACTAGAATGTGTTGGATCTATTTTCCGAGATACAAGTCTGAAGTATTTAGTGTGTTTAAAAAGTTTAAAGCTATGGTTGAATTGCAAAGTGGCTATAAACTGAAAAAAAAATTAAGAAGTGATAGAGGGGGTGAGTATACTTCTACAGAATTCAGCAAGTTTTGTGATGACATGGGAATGGAAAGGCAGCTGATAGTTGCTCATTCTCCACAGCAGAATGGTGTAGCTGAAAGGAAGAATAGATCAATTGTTTAAATGGCAAAATGTATGATGTTTGGGAAGAAAATGCCTCTGGAATTTTGGGCTGAAGCAGTTAACACTGCTGTATATGTATTGAATAGATGTCCTACTAAAGCTTTAGAGAAGAAAACACCCTTTGAAGCTTATAGTGGAAGAAAACCAGGGATCAAGCATCTAAGAGTGTTTGGTTCCTTGTGTTATGCTCAGATTCCAGAGCAGCAGAGACAGAAGCTTGATCAAACTAGCACTAGGTGTGTGTTTCTTGGTTATGGTAACTGTGAAAAAGGTTACAGGTTATACAATCTTGAATCAGGCAAAGTGATTATTTCTAGAGATGTTATTTTTAATGAGGAAGGTAGTTGGGACTGGAATGCACAAAAGGAGTCCTGTGTTTCAGTTTCACTAACTGATGTTGTCAATGAGAATGGAAAAGAGATTGATGAGTCGCATGAAGTTCAAGCAGAAATGGCTAAAGAAAATGAAACAGAACACGTTGAGGCTGTCACAGGTCCTCAGGAGTTTGACCATACTCCTAGAAAGTTCAAAACTATAGCTGAAGTCTATGAAAGATGCAATGTGTGCATCATTGAGCCTGAGTCATTTGAAGAAGTTGTCAAGGATGACTCTTGGCAGAAAGCAATGGAAAATGAGATTCACATGGTAGAGAAGAATGACACTTGGGATTTGGTTGATAGACCAATAGATAAACCAGTCATTGGAGTTAAATGGGTGTATAAAACCAAGTTAAACTTGGATGGTTCTGTTTAGAAGAATAAAGCAAGGCTGGTGGCAAAAGGCTACTCTCAAAAGCTTGGGATAGACTTTAATGAGACCTTTGCACCTGTGGCAAGGCTTGACACAATTCGAATTTTAGTAGCCTTGGCTGCACAGAAAGGATGGAAGCTGTTTCAGTTGGATGTTAAATCGGCTTTTCTGAATGGAGTGTTACATGAAGAGGTTTATGTTGATCAACCACCTGGTTTTGTGGTTAAGAACATGGAAGATGGGGTTTATAGACTGAAGAAGGCTTTGTATGGTCTTAAACAAGCTCCAAGAGCTTGGTATGAAGAGATTAACTCTTACTTTGAGAAGACTGGTTTCAAGAGAAGTCTTAGTGAGGCAACTCTGTATGTGAAGTCTGCAGAGAGTGGAATTCTTATTGTTTCACTTTATGTAGATGACATCATCTATACTGGAAGTTCTAGAGAGCTATTGTTGGATTTCAAGACTGAAATGATGAAGCAATATGAAATGACAGATCTTGGTCTGTTACATCATTTTTTGGGGTTAGGAGTGATACAGACTGAATCTTATATTTTCTTGCATCAGAAGAAATATGCAAAGACACTCTTGGATAGGTTTGGTTTCAAGGATTGCAAGTCAATTGCTACTCCTCTTGCAGTAAATGAGAAACTGTCTAAACAGGATGGTAGTGAATTGGCAGATGAAAGTTTATACAGGTAGGTAGTGGGAAGCTTGTTGTATCTGACCGCAACAAGGCCTGATATTATGTTTGCAGCCAGTCTTTTAGCGATATTCATGCATGGTCCTACCAGAAAACACATGGGAACTGCTAAGAGAGTGCTTAGGTACATTCAAGGCACATTGGATTATGGCATAGTCTATGAAAGAGGAAAGGAAGCTGTGCTAATTGGCTATTGTGATAGTGATTGGTCAGGAAGTGAGGACGATATGAAGAGTACCTCGGGATATGCATTTCATCTTGGTTCTGGTGTTTTTTCTTGGGCATCAGTCAAGCAAAGCAATGTAGCTCTCTCCACTGCAGAAGCTGAATATGTGAGTGCAGCTGAAGCAACTGCACAAGCAATGTCGTTAAGGTTTGTTCTCTTAGATTTTGGTGAAGAACAGATCAGTTCAACATCAATTCTATGTGATAATACCTCAGCTATTGCTATAGCAAAGAATCTTGTGCATCATCACAAGACAAGGCATATCGATAGGAGATTTCATTTTATCCGAGATGCCTTGCAGAATGAAGAAATTGATTTACTGTATTGGAAGACAGAAGAGCAGACTGCAGATATATTTACCAAAGCTCTAGCCAGAGATTGGTTTGAGTATTTGAGGAAGAAGCTTGGTGTTATTTCAGCTAAACACTTAGAAGGGAGTGTTGAAATATAAGTGCATTTAGCTGAAATGTTCATTTAGGTTCATTAAACTTGCTTAGCTGTGTAATTAACTGTGATCCATTGGATTATAGTTCAATGGACGGCTAGGATATTAAGTTGTAGTGAGAGTGTGTGTAGTTGCCATGTGTCTCTATCTCATAGGGTAGAGATTGGATGGTTAGATTGAGCTGATGTAAGAGAGGAATATTCTTATTCCTAACGGTTTTATATCAAGCATGTAGTGTGCGTGTTGTGTGTGGCATGTAAGAGTGAGATAACAGACTCACATTTTGCATCTATCAATTTTGCTCTCTTCTCTTAAATTCTCTCTGTGTTCTTCATTCATTTTCAAACCCTGAGCTCCCTATACCAAAATCCAAATCTAAAAGCAGATTATAGGCTGGTATTTCAACAGAAACTGCTGAGCCATTTGAGGATAATGTGCAATGCTGCTGCTGTTGTGCATAGATTTTCCTACGGATATGCATGTGTAGCCATGTTTCTTCCGCAAATACAAATCTTTTCACGTTAAATCAAGAAAAGAAAGAAATAAGATAATTATTTTATCTAAGTCATGCATGGTTAAATTTGTATAATGATGCACTCTACTTCTTGTTGGGGTTGCTATTGGATTTGTACCTATTGCTAATGAGCCATTTGGTTCCAAGACACTCTAAAGAGGTACATGTGTTCTTTATATTTAAAGTGCAAGTGAAAGCTCCATTCAAAGAAACCTCTGCAAATGACATTCCCTCCCTATGCAAGCAATATTTTAACAAATTGGATTAATGTGAGGTGCGCAACTCCAATCTTCTCAATCTCAATCATGAAGCATTCTTTTTATTATTTATTTATACTCTTTCTTTAATAAGCACCTTATCATTGAGGAAGGCTGTTGCAAATATTAGTGTGGTTTTGTCATCCTCAACTCAATTAACCAATTTATTTGTTTAACTCTTTATTTTATTTTATTTTATTGATTGATTGTGATGATATCTTATAATTAGTGTTTAATTGTCAACCATTTAGTGATTCTCTTTCTTGTATTGTAAAAACTATTAGCATAATTGTAGGCATTAGTGTAGGATCTGGTTTCCTGCTTTCTTGTATAAAGCTGAAACAGATCCTTGAGGAACTCAAATCAATATCAATTCAGTTCTGCACATATGCTTTTTTTTTCAAAGAAAAAACCGCGGTTCAAATCCTCAAAGGATAACTAAAAATGTCAACCTTTGTTCATATGGAGGCTTCGCTCATCGTGTTGAAAGCCGATTTGCCCAAGTGGACTTCCATGCCTAAGTTGCAGTTTCTTCAGATCCAAGCATTCAAATTTTTGACTGTTAAAGTATTTCTTTGAAAGATGTAAAGAAAATTTTGTCTTCTAAAGTAGGTGGCAGAGCAGAATGTCAAGTTCTGGAGTTTAGACATCAATGTCATCATTATTTCATACAAAGGCGGCGGGGAAGAACACGACTCATTCCTCAAAGTTCATTAAAATATTGAGAAGAATATAACATAATAATTTTGATTATTTGTTTGCTACTCTGTGTGAGTTAATCATTTCACTGGAGAAACTCGATCGGTTAGGTTGCTGTTTTTTCTTTCTTCCTCCCCAACTGTTCCTCCTCAGTCCTCCTCACAGAGTGAGATATACAGCACACACTTAGAAATGTTAGCTTTTGTGCAGATCAATGGTAAACAGACCTAGCTACCCTTTGAGTCACTGCTTGTTATATGTTTGTATTAACCCAAACTTCTTATTCTAATCTTCCATCATGCCTGACATTCTTTTTCAATTCTTTTCCTTCTCCTTAACTGTGCGTAGCGCTGTTGTGGACTGATATACTAGCTGCATATGCAATGTGGATGACCATGGCATACTTAACTGACGCATGGAAGCTCAACCTCAAGCACGCCGCTGCAATTATCAATTTGTTCTGGGGCATGGCGGCCATAATGCCAGTGGGCTTGCAATTTTTTGTGGATACTTTCATGGGTTACTATTGGATGGTCTTGCTCTCCAGTTTTTCCTACATCGCTGTAAGGGTATTTCAGTCACAAAATCACTGTAATTCTAAGCAGAATATGATCACCATATATTTAATCATTTTGGAGTGCAGGGCTTAGGTTTTCTGTCAATGTTAACACCACCAGACCTTGCTGCTGCAACAGCCACTTGCAGCGCATATGATCCCGAGTGTATCGGCCAAGGGCAAAAAATCCTCTTTTTCACAGCTTTAGCTCTAATAGCTGTGGGATTTTCTGGTCACTTAGTCTCTGTACCACAATTCATGGCTGACCAGGACTCACACTCAAACCGTAGGGACAGCAGCCTCCGTCACTTGGTCATAAGCTTTATGGTGATCCATGTCCCTATAGCGGCTTTTGCTATCTATTATGGCATCCCTGCCGTATGTACCTTGTTGATGCTCTTTTTCGGAGAGGGTCAACTTAGAGAAAAAGGGGTTTGTCTTCAGCAGGGAAAGGGTCTGGGCCTTCAATAAAGGCTAGCCTGCAGAAGACAAAAATAAGGGAAACAGTCGTTAAGCTCCGGGCACCGATGTGGTGCCAGCCGAAGGCTCTCCGATGCTTAAGTCAGCTAAGAAGGGTAACTTTTGCAGAGTAATAGTAAAAGGCAGAAAAGTAGTTACCCTCTTACTAGGGTACTGTTCCCTTTTTATAGGGAAGTGAAAGTGGGAGGTTGGTGTAGATTTCCGATGTGGGACTTTGTGCAAGTCGCCGCGGTGGTGACACGTGTCATGAGAATTAGGTTTAGCAGTTTGTGAGCTTTGGCAGTCGGGAGTTTCGGCAGGTGCTTGGCACCTCGGAAGAGTGTCTTCCTTCGGCAGGAGAGAAGGCGTGTCTGCCTTGGTGCTAGTTGTTTTGAGACTGGATATGCTCGGTTGATTATGGTGTAAACATACCTTGGTAGCAACACTTATTTTCTTGACTGGTTTGTGCTCATATCGCACTTATAGACCATACGGCAGCCCTCTCACTATTCTGTTTAGGGTCTTTGTGGCCTCTGCCCCCAAAATTTTCCAGAAACACCCCAAAGACTCCTCTCATCTCTACGAGACGTGATGATTATTTGATACCTCACACTCGTCGCCTCAAGTTTTGACTCTCTCTCTCTCTCTCTCTCTCTCTCGTGCATGTTTATGCACACAGATGCACACAAGCACATACATGTGTGCAAATAGTGGCACCTAGTGCAGCATTTTAAACCCACAAATTACTTATTGAAATTTAGGTGCCTAGACAAGGCTGCAATTATATTAGCCACCCAACCTCTACAGCAACAAGAAAATAATAGTTGGAGACTTTGCAGAGTCACAGAAGTGGAAGAAACCAAAAGCGTCCTATGCATGATTCCCATATGCATGACACTTATCCTAATTGGTGTTGTATCTTCAATTGGAACTGGTTTCTGCATTGAACAAGCAACCCACATGAATCACAAAGTTGGGCGCATAACAGTTCCTCTTCCAATCTTGGTATGGTTCTATACTCTTCCCAAAGAACTACTTGGAAAACTCGACTTCCAGATTGCAGAACTAACAAGGTATGGTCCCCGAATTGGAATTATATGCTCAATCACAGCTGCAAAAATGGAGACACGAAGGTTGGGCGTGGTTAAGAGCCGTGGTCTAATCAACAAGCCTGAGGAAACGGTTCCCATGAGCATGTTTTGGTTGCTTCCACAGTTTCTTCTCCTCGGAGGCCTTGAAGGGATTGCAGAAATTAGCGTTGATTTGTTCTTAGTTAAGCAAGTCCCTCCATCCATGTATCAGTGCATGGTTCGGTTTTGTGTTGCTTTTTGGGGAGTGGGGAGTATAGGCGGTGTCTTGTCTGTTTATGTAGTGGGTGAGATAAGTGGACAGGGAGGGAAACCCAGTTGGTTCCAAGACACCCTAAACAATAGTCGCTTGGATCAATATTACTGGCCCTTGGCTGCATTGTCCGCAGCTAATCTTGTTCTCTATATTTTGGTGAGCATTTGGTATGCTTACAAGGATTCCAGGTCGGAGGATGATGAAACTGCTGAGCCATTTGATGAGGATCATGTGCAACTCATTTGATGATGACAATGTGCAGCTCTGCCACACATAATTTTGTATCTACGGTTTTTATAACGTCTCTTATATCTTTTCTTTGACGAGATTATGTGATTACATATCCACACCTGTGATGAGTACATAGTTGAAAAGATTTGTATTGAAAGGTGATGTTGAATAAATGTGATACAGAGTACTTGCCACTTAAAGATCTGTGATGTCATTGCAATTCCTACAGCAGGCGGTCATATGAACAGTTGACTAGCATTTTTGGTCGAAGCATACTTGACATTTTCTGTAAAATATGCCGTCTTTAACGACAGCTTAATTCTCATGTGGATGGAGGAGGCCAACATATTTTTATGTGTGGATAAGTAATTTTCAACTTGAAGGATGAAGTTATATTTTGTTTTCTAAATAAAGTAAGCTGGTAGAGCAGAATGTCAACTTCTGGGGTTTAGACACAAGTCGGTATTTTGAAATAATGGTTTCGTAGGAAAAACCCTGTTAGGCTCTGTCGTTCCTAAAAGTTCTGTACTGTACTTAGAAATGTTATCATCTGTGCTGAAGACAATTTTAACCCGTGTTCAGGCTATAGTTTTAGCCATTCAATTATCATCACGCTGTATCACATCCACAATACCACTAAAACATAACAAATACATATAAATACAATACTTATTACTTAATCATATCAGTCCCTAAAGACTACACTGTTAGAGTTTCGAATAGATTGAAAGAGAAGAAAAAACGCAGAGAGTGTAAGATAGTTTACTGTCTTAAACTCACATAAAGTGGTCTTCTAATCATTATCGGATTGCAAGAACTCCAGATTAATCAAGGACTCAAATCTGTCTCATCCAGCAGACCTTGTATCAGTGTTTTAAGTGGATTACAAGGCTAAAGGGGTTTCTAGTTCTATTTGAATTGGGATTCATTGTTCTATTGCAATAAGGATAACTCAAGGAGTTTCTTGATGGGCAAAAACTCCTTGAAAAAACTCCTTGAGTGATGCATATAAATAGAGGAGCTCCCTCTAAGAGCCGACACACACACAAAATCTCATCTAGTAATTCACCCCATCTGGAATTTGAGAATAAGGCAGTCGGTGATCTTAGAGAAGAGCTGCCTACCAAAAGGAGAAGAGCTGTCTACCAAGTGTTCGACAAAAGGCTTCAATGGCAGAACAAGGTTAGTGTTCAAGTTATAATAGCTTAATCAAGTTAACAGAGAGATGAGAGAGCTAGATGAATCAAATCGAGTGAGTATTTTTCTATTGCAAGCTCTCACACAATGAGCAAGCTCTATGTGAGCTATATGTCCGTTAGAATGAATAGTTGGATTCTCTTACATCACTGAGAATCACGGCCTTACATCCAAAACTGCTTTATAGGATTTTTACACGTGGCTATAACCATTTAACATGACTAATGCCTAACACTTGTCTAACTTAGTGACTAAGTGAATACACCATTTAGCTTAGAGGCCTCATTACATTGTTATCAGCTCACCACTTACATTCGAACACTCCCCTTTAAGTTGTGAGCTGATTTCACACCAAGTTTCTCTATGAGATAGCAGAAACGATCCTTAGCCAAAGCCTTTGTAAAGATATCTGCCAACTGCTCATTTGTGGGACAATAAATCAGATCCACAGTTCCTTCTTGCAAAGAATCTTTAATAAAATGTTACCTCCAATCGATATGCTTGGTTTTCTGATGAAACACAGGATTCCTTGTAATGGCAATAGTTGAAATGTTGTCACAGTGTAGAGGTGTAGCTTCAGTTTGAAGTTCTCCAAAGTCTTCTAAGACAAATCTCAACCAAATAGCTTGTGTTGTTGCTTCAGAGGCACTGATGTATTCTGCTTATGCAGTAGAGAGTGCAACACAATTTTGCTTGACTGAGGCCTAAGCAAACACTCCACTACCAAAAGAAAAGGCATATCCATAAGTGCTCTTGCTATCATCCACTGAACCACTCCAATCATTGTCACAATAGCCAATTAGGACTACCTCTTTTCCTTTCACATACTCCAAACCATAGTCTAGAGTTCCTTTTACATATCTAAGAACACGTTTTGCTGTTCCAAGATGTTTGCTAGTGGGACAATGCATGAACCTTGCAAGCAAACTAGCTGCAAACATAATATTGGGTCCAGTAGCTGTGAGGTACATTAGACTTCCAACAATCCTTCTGTATTGCTCTTCACTTGCCAAACAACTTCCATCATCCTTACTTAGTTTCTCTGAGGTGACTAGTTGAATAGATACCGGCTTACACTCACTCAAGCTAAATCTGCTTAACAGAGTTGTTGCATATTTCTTCTTATGAATGAATATGCTTGTTGGTGTTTGAATTACTCCCATTCCCAAGAAGTGATGCAAAAGCCCCAGATCAGTCATTTCATATTTCTCCTTCATGTTCTTCTTGAAGTCTTCTAACATTTCTTGATCATTTCCAGTGTAGACTATATCATCTACATAAATAGATACTATCAAGATGCTTGCTTCACCTCTTGTTTTGACATAAAGAGTAGCCTCACTTTGGCTCTTTGTGAAACCACACTCAGCAAAATAACCATCAATTTCACTATACCAAGCTCTTGGCCCCTGTTTCAAGCCATATAGAGCTTTATGCAGCTTGTAAACCTTGCTTTCACTCCCCTTCACCACAAATCCCTCCGGTTGATCTATATACACTTCTTCCTCTAAGATGCCATTTAGAAAGGTTGGCTTAACATCTAATTGATACAGCTGCCAACCCTTCTGAGCTGCTAGTGCAATTAGAGTCCGGATTGTGTCTAATCTAGCCACTGGTGCAAATGTTTCATTGTAGTCTACCCTTGGTTTTTGTGAGTATCCTTTAGCCACCAGTCTTGCCTTATTCTTCTGCACTGAACCGTCCAGATTTAGCTTAGTTTTAAACACCCATTTAACTCCAATCACTAGTTTATCCATAGGTCTGTCAATAAGCACCCATGTATCATTCTTTTCTATCATGTTCAACTCATCTTTCATTGCCTTCATCCATGACTCATCCTTCACAGCTTCTTCAAACTTCTCAGGCTTCATTGTGCACAAATTGCATTGTGCTAAAATATCATCCAACTTCCTCCATTTCAATGGAGTATGATCGAAGTTCAGAGTGTCTTCCAATCTGCTGCTTGCCTTGCTTGATTCTTCATAGGAGACTGAGTCTCTAGGTATGAAACCAGAATTTCGATTTCCTACAGGTGTTTCAAACAATTCCACTTGAGAATTCCTAGGATACGCTTCATGATTCATCATAACCACTGAATTTTCAGTCGTTTCTTTCCAATTCCAGGTTGCTCCTTCATCAAATACAACATCTCTTGACAGTAGTAGTTTTCTTGTGACAGGATCAAACACTCTATAACCCTTCTCACATGTTGCATATCCAACAAACACTCCCCTTGTGCTTTTGGCATCCAATTTATATCTACTTTCTTCAGGTTTATGCACAAAACACACACTGCCAAATACCTTCAAATGAGCAACACCTGGTTTTCTTGTGCTATAAGCTTCAAAAGGAGTCTTGTTTCTAAGAGCCTTAGTAGGGCACCTGTTCAAAATGTACACTGCAGTGTGTACAGCTTTTGCCCATAAGTAATAAGGTAGCTCCTTCTCATGTAACATAGCCTTAGCCATCTCTACCACTGTCCTATTCTTCCTTTCTACCACTCCATTCTGCTGGGGTGTGTAAGCCATGGAGAACTGTCTTTGAATTCCTGCATCTTCACACATAGTTTATTGAATTCACTAGATGTAGACCCCTTTGTCACTTTGAACACATTTCACTTTGTAACCACTCTGCAACTCCACCATAGACTTGAATTTTCAAAAACAGTTTAGTCCATCCAACTTGTATCTCAAGAAGTAGACCCAAGTCATCCTTGTAAAATCGTCTATGAGCAGCATAAAGTATTTATTGCCTGCTAGGGACTCATTTTGCATTGGTCCACACAAGTCCATGTGTATTAACTCAAGGGGTGTACTTGCTCTCCATGCTTGATCCTTTGGGAACCACTCTCTGTGTTGTTTTCCCAGTTGACAGCCTCCACACACTTCATTTAGATCCTCCAAGTGTGGCAAACCATGTACCATCTCCTTCTCCTTAAGCTGATGTAGTCCTTTCATATGCAAATGACCCATTCTTTTATGCCAAATCCGGGTAGAATTGGATATACCAGCTCTTAATGCAACATAGTCATTTGAGGACAATGACAATGGATAACACATATTCTTCCTCATTGCCACCTTCATGATGAGATTCTTGAGAAAAGAACCATCATAGATATTGCACATGCTGCTTCCAAATACCAAATGATAACCATGTTCATCCATTTGGCCCACACTCAACAGAGTCTCCCTCAAACCAGGCAGATACATGACTTTTCTGATATACCTTGTACCAGAGCTTGTGTCAAGCACTAAAGTACCCATGCCAGCTATACTTACAAGCTCCCCTGTTGGCATTTGCACCTTGCCTGTGACACTTGAATTTTTGTCAATTAACAGCTCCTTGTTCCCAGTCATATGGTTACTGCAACCACTATCTATATACCATTCTCCATTTGCACTCTTCTCTGAAATTGCACAGTTTGCAAAAAACAGATTCCCTCTTACTTCTGCTTGGCTTGCATTATTTGCTTTATGCACTCCTTTGTTTGCAGTACAGTCCCTAGCCCAATGTCCAAATCTATCACACTTATAGCACTTAGATTGGCCCTTATATCTACATTCTCCAAAGTGAAATTTAGAGCATACTTTGCCTTGAGGCTTCACTCCATCTTGATGCACATATTGTGATCCATTTGAGGTCTGTGCAGCACCAGCTTGTTGTGGCTTCTGCCTAGACTCCCATGGTTTGTTATTAGGCTTCCAACTTTTCTGAGGCTTAGCAGAACCAGTTTGGGTACTATTCTTGTTCTGCCCTTTTGTATCGATTGAGAAAGAACCAAATGCCTTCTCAGCTATGTCCACATTATGCATGTCAAAACGTTGCTATTGACTCTTCAATATTGCAATAACCTCATGCAATTCAATAGTCTCCAAACTCTTTGTATTTTCAATCACCAAGTAGAGGAGATCATACACTCTACTAAGAATGATTAACACCTTTTGAAACAGCCTCTCGTTTGATAACACTTCTCCAAACGTTTTCATTTGATTTATCAATTCATTTAAACAAGTAAGATATGCAGTTAGTTGTTCACCTTCACGCATTCTCATATACTCAAATTCTCATATGAGATTCTGGAGTTTTACTGACCTGACCTGATCACCACCGTGATATTCACTATAGAGCAGATTCCACGCCATTTTGGCTGAGTCGGCGTTGGCAATCCAAGGAAAGATCTAGTCAGAAACAGCATTTTGTATAATTCCCAGAGCCTTCGCGTCCTTCATGAGCACAACGATCATCTCTGCATCAGCTTCTTCTTCCGATGACTCTTCAACTTTCTTCTTCTTCTTCGAATCAGGGGTTGGAATCCCCTTTTCTATCAGACTCCATAGTCCAAGAGATTTGAAAATCGTTACCATCTTAATCCTCCAGAACTCGTAGTTCTCACCGGAGAAAATCGGAGTTCTTACTTCTGAACTTCCAGATCCAGCCATCTTTTGGTCCGAATCAAACAATTTCTCTTCTCAGATGCTTAGCTGAGCTTCGATTGAGCTCAGTGACCTCACAGATTACGCCCAGATCAAAAGACCCAACCTGGCTCTGAGGCCATGTTAGAGTTTTGAATAGATTGAAAGAGAAGAAAAAACGCAGAGAGATGAGAGAGCTAGAATGAATCAAATCGAGTGAGTATTTTTCTATTGCAAGCTCTCACACAATGAGCAAGCTCTATGTGAGCTATATGTCCGTTAGAATGAATAGCTGGATTGTCTTACATCACTGAGAATCACAGCCTTACATCCAAAACTGCTTTCTAGGATTTTTACACGTGGCTATAACCACTTAACATGACTAACGCCTAACACTTGTCTAACTTAGTGACTAAGTGAATACACCATTTAGCTTAGAGGCCTAATTACATTCTTATCAGCTCACCACTTACATTCCAACATACACATCTCACCAAAAGATCCAGTACGAGATTAATTGCAGTCAATGCAGCCAAGGTCCAATAGTAATTGTCCAAACGACTCCTGTTTAACGTGAACTGGAACCAACTGGATCCTCCCACCCTTGCACTTACCTCACCCACTGCATAAACTGACGACACACCACATATAATTCCCACTTCACTAACCGCTTGAGCAAATATTTTCATGTACATATTCTTGGATTCTTTTGTTGCCTTGTCTTTCTCCAGTGTTTTAATTTCCAGCTTATCAGTGAAGAAACAAACAATGCTCTTCTCTGAAAGCTCTTCAGCTAATCCGAGAAGAAGATACTGTGGAACCAACCAAAACATGGTCATGGGAATTGTTTTCGTGTCCTTGTCGTCGTTGTCCACGATCAAACCCTCCCTCCTCACCACGCCTAATCTTTGGGTCTCCACTTTTGCAGCTGTGATACAACACAGAGTTGCAATTATCTTTGACACAGCAATTCCAAATCTGGGATACGCAGCACACCATTTTATTGGGTTCGCCAAATACGCTTTCAGATACCCTTGGAAACAAATTGGAAGGACAATAATAGGAACCAATAAGCGCCCAAAATGGGGATTCATGTCGGTTGCTTGTTCAATGAAGTATTTCCGCGAGAAACTACAATACCTGTCAGGATACAGTTCATGCATGTAGGCATCAGGCGTAGGATGCGTTTGGCATCTTGTTTCCTAAACATTTTGGTGAGACTGATCGGTTTTTGTCCAGCTCCACGTCCACGTGGGAATGAACATAAACCACACAAGAAGATAATTGTTGATACCACTGTGCATATGGCTCCTATGCCAAACTTATTCGACCAAGGATTTATATAACCAATTGCCAGAAGTGCAGCTCCAGGGAAGAAGATCATTGATATCACACCAAAGAACCACTCACTTTTAAAAAATTTGGCCCAACTAGTGCCATTTGATTCTGGAGTAATCTGCTTGTCAACTTCTTTTGGTGGCAACTTCTTAGATGCTGGTGGCCGCAACTGCTCAGCTGCTGGTGCTGGAGGCGGTAACTTCTCAGGTTCTAGTGGTGGCGGCAACTGCTCAGATTCTGGTGGGGGCAACTGTTCAGGATTTGTTTGGGGCAACAACTCATTGATGAATGTCAGCGCAGAGCCCAAGTAAGCAGACACACCCACAACTATTAGAGGTAATGATGTGTAAAACAGAACCTTTTGTACTTGGCCAATGCACTCGGCCTTAAAGCATTTCCACTAGTTAGCCCCTTGTCATGGCAAGGGGAGCCCTAGGGCAGCTACTATTAACGTGAATAGTAGCTGCCCTAGCCCTCCCAGCAAAGTGTGTTTCCAGCAGTTTAGGCTTGCTATAAAAAATACTATTCATTTTTTTTGTTTTTTTTTCACAACTTTGTTTACTTAAACAATTCATTTGGATAAGATTTTTGGGTTTCTACGTGTCAATACTATTCATATCAGATAAGATTTTCGGTTTCAAATTTCAGATACATTTCAAAATTCAAATTTCAGATAAATTCAAAATGTCAAATTTCAGATACATTTCGAAATTCAAATTTTAGATAAATTTCAAATAAGATTTTCACCCTCTAAGATTGCACCACGTGTCATATGTACGGGTCGAACCAATTACCCTTTCACAAAAATCCTAATGAATTTTTTTTCCACATATGACAGAATTTCATCTCATTGCCCGTTATAGGACAATGACTAATTTGGAGCCAAGACTCACACAAACTAACATTTTCTATCATGCTCCATACCCCTCCGGTTTCACTAGAAGAACCCATAATATGATAGAGAGAAAAACAACTTGGAAGTGAAAAAATATTGAGTAGAAAGTGAATAATAGTAGTAGGAGAAGAAAATGTATGAGGAGTTGGTGTTAAAAGTGAAGAGTACTGGTTGGTATTTATAGAAAAACAATTCAGTATTTTTTGGGTATTTTTTTAAATTTGTTTCGATTTTTTTTCTTTTTTTTTAATTAGGAAAAAGTTTGCTGCCATTGGATTGCTGGAAAAAAAGGGATCAGAGAGCCCAAAGCCAGCCACGTGGAAGAGAGCCGTTGGGGGGCATTGTAGCGGGTTTTTTTTATAAATTTTTTCCAATTTTTTTTTTGATTTTTTATTGGGAAAAAATTGGTTGCCGTTGGATTGCTGGAAAAAAGGGGATCGGAGAGCCTAGAGCCAGCCACGTGGAAGAGAGTCGTTGGGGGGGCACTGTAGCGGGCGCGTGTTAAAAAATTTAAACAGAAACGCTGACGTCAACTCAGCCCACAGGCTGGAGCTCGGGCCAGCCCAGTTCACTGGACCCCACTCCTTGCCCTGTCAGACTTTTGTTGTGGAAACACCATTTTGGGTTTGCCCCCCCCTAGCCCTCCCCTTGGGCCCCTTGCTGGAAATGCTCTTATATGCGCTGCAAGTGCCTGTTGCCCCAGCAAGGACTGGAGGTGTTGACATCGCCAAAAGAACCAAGCCCTGCATTCCAAAATCATCATGCATTCTGAATGCCTCGAATCAATTATATTCTACATACATGACAGCTTGTAGCTCAAATGGTTAACATTTACACCAGCATACGAGGTCTTAGGTTCGATTTCCCTGCACCCAATATAGCTTGTACAAAAAAAATAAACATTTTATTTTGCATATTCTTATCTTATTCATTTGTAAATTTTGGATCCTTCAAATTTTGTGGTTTTAAATGAAAACTAAATTTGAAACTCACAGCAGTGAAGGCAAATCTGGGGAGCAAGATCATCCAATAGCTACCCGTGTAACCAGTCATGCAGACTATACATATCATGCCCACTGGCATTATGCACACCACACCCGAATACAAATTGACAATTGCAGCAGCGTGTGTGATACTGAGCTCCCATGCACCGGTTAAGTATGAAGCCATTATCGACATGATCAATGTGGTGAGTAGATTCGGCCAAACCACAACTACAATTGAAGAACACAAGGAAAATAATATTTAAAATCCAAGTATTATGAGATGAAATATATTATTAGATATATTAAAAAATTGGGTTAATATATAGTTTATAAAACGAAGTGACTCAAAGGAGTAGATCTGCTTACAACCGGCCTTCAGCTTAGACGGTGCCATTTCTGAGGGAGGTTGAAGTGGAAGAGAAGAGAGAGAAAACAAACACTTACTTCAATTTCTGGCTTTCTCGTTCATGGAAACTTTATAGTGATGAAAAACTCCATTATGATATAGAAATTCATTGACTGGAAGTCAACTTTTTTATTGTTGGTCAATGTCAACTTCTCCTTTCTTTAGACCCAAAAAAAAAAAAAAAAGAACAAAAAAGGAAGAAAAATAAAATTGAAAATTTGACATATTAAAAATTTCTAAATCAGCAAAGCTTCCATGTGCACTGAGGTCGACATCTTTTTTTAAAAGAAAAAGACCACCAACTTGAAGCATCTGATCAGTCTTTTTAAACTATTTCTTCTGATGCAAGCACCACCAACTTGAAGAGACGTATAGTCACGCCAACACCAACTTAGAATATATTTATAAATATTAACCAAAACTTTTATGCGAATCTAATATCACTACCAAATATTCATGTAAATCTGATGGTAAAAAGTACAGAATACAATCATCTTGATGATTTTGGAATGCAGGGATTAGGTCTTTTGACAATGTCAACACCACCAGTCCTAGCTGGGGGGTAACAGCCACTTGCAGAGCCTATGATCCCCCCAGTGCGTTGGCCAAGTACAAAAGATCCTCTTTTACCCCGCGGTAGCTCTAGTAGCTCTGGGAATGTCCGGTCACTTTACCTCGTTGGCGACCCGAGCAGGTGATGTCAGCAAGATCAGATGTGTTTGATGAGGACATGGACTTCTCTCAGTTTTGCAAGATGTGCTTTGCGGTGTTTGGCTTACCTGTAGTCATAATTGTAGCAGCTGCTTATATAAAACCTTGGTCGATTAGGTTTGGGGTCCCAGCCATATTTACCTTATTGGCAGCTACACTTAATTTCTTGACTACATTTGAAAGTTTGAACATAGTTTGAATCACCAATCTTTTACTACATTCACAGAACTTGAAACCGTAGGAATCATAAAGGATATGGGAGATTGCAAAATTGTAAGAAAACATTTGGAGATTTGATGACTTTCAAAGACTTGGGACTTTAAAATCGAAAAGAGAGGCAATATAGAAGAAGTCAAGAGAAATGAGAATATTGTGTTATTGTTCAGATAGATCATTGTTACACAATATATTTGGCCTTTGTATCCTTTCTCTCTTACACAACAATACAACTGACAAAGTTGCTCATCTTATGACACATGTCAACATCTCAAAACATCATTTACTCATCTAGTGACACGTGTCAGCATCTCACAACATCATCCTCTAACAATGGCCAAGCAAAGCAAATGGAATAACAGCGATCCGTTGAGAGGCAAACTATAGGCAAGGAAAAGGGAAGTACAAAATTAAGAGAGAATTAATGAGGTGGATATTACTAACTGCAAAACATAAGCCAACATGCCAACATTTATTTCATCAGCAAAGCCCTCCTTCACCCTGTCTGTGAGCAGAGCTCTACACGCAGAAGCAGCAGCAACACATGATATAAGCACTGCAAGTACCAATATATACATATAAGAACTCGGAGTAAGGGCTTAGTGTGTAATTAATGTTACCACGAAAGAGTCGATCGATATTAATTTTTTCTAAATTTAGATATTAGCCAAATTATTATAAGAGTGCTACTATTTCCACCTTCGTCCTTTTGTGCAATTAAATTACTATTCCAATTTAAGAAAAAAACAAAAAAGAAAAGAAAATTACATATAGAAACTCACCAACTCATTATGAGTTTGCATGCACAGTCTATAAGGGCGATTGCACATCCTATAACGGGGGCTACACATAGGCATGCAGAGCCTATAAGGGTGCATACACACTCTATAATGCTGAGGTCAGATGCGTTCGGCTCTTCCGGATCTTCGCTACTGTTAGGCATCTCCGGTTACCACTCCTTTCCCGATCACTGAAAATGCAATCTGAGGAAGCTTTTTATAGCTATATGTAAACAAACACACACACATATATATATATATATATATATGCCTGCTACGGATAAATTTATAGGTTCACACTTTAGTTTTAAGAGAGAATATAAAAAGACTAATGGCTAGCTACGGACAGCTATTATTGAATTCGAGTTAAGGTGTGAATTCGACTTAAGGTTAAAATATTGTATAAACTAATCTAAATAAAAACATCTGAGTCTTATTAAATGGTATGTGCAGCTGTCCTAATTTTTTTATGGGCAGGTACTAGAGGATGCCTTATTGAAATTTCAAATGACCATCCAAATTATTGTTCTATAAAACAATAAATTAATTTAATCCGGTGGAAAAGAGTCTTGACTTGCGGAGTAAATGTCTGAGATTCGAACTTCCATGACCATTTGTGTGTGAAAAATGCTCTTCCCTTCTAATTTAGACTATCACTTATACTTAAAATAAAGACTCACAATGTATTTAGTCAAACCATATTAAAATAACGAAAATGAGCAAATTCGCCGTGTGAACCATATATTATAGGCCTTTCTTTTTCTTTGGCCAGAGACTACTAATTTGGACCACTATGATCTTTATAAATATTAATATTTATAATTTATTTATTTATAAAATGTCAATTTAGAAATTTTGACTTTTCTTTAAATTATATGTTTCTTTCTTTCGTCCAGACATATAAGGGTAATGGAATCTTCTCTTACCTAACACAATAAGTTATATTTACTTCAAATAATTCAGAGTCCAGTTCGATTTCTTTGCTCTTTCTGTTTTCTTCCCCAACTTCCTCCATCTCTTGGAGTCTGAAATGGCACCGTCTCTGCTGAAGGCCAGTGGTAAGCCGACTGACACACCCTTCGAGTCACTGCGTCTTAAAAATTACTAACCCAAATTCTAATATCTAATTGAGAATATTTCATCATAACTTCTTTTTTTTGGGTGCATTAATATTATTTTCTCCTTCTGCTGTTCAATTGTAGTTGTGGTTGTACCGAATTTACTCACCACATATATCATGTCGATAATGGCTACATACTTAACTGATGTATGGGAGCTCAGTATCACACACGCTGCTGCAATTGTCAATTTGTACTCGGGCATGGTTGGTATAATACCAGTGGGTTTGATTTGCGTAGTCTACATGACTGGTTTCACGGGTAGCTACTGGATGATCTTGCTCTCCAGATTTAGCTTTACCGCTGTAAGTTCGTCCTGGTCACAAATAATTTCAATGTACTTTTGCATATAATTAAATTTTTGTATAAAAATAAATGTTGCACTAATAATTATTAGATTTCTGAATACATTATAGATGTATAAAGCATTTGCAGAATATAATTAATAGACATAATTGCAGGGTTTGGTTCTTTTGACACTGTCAACACCACCCGTCCTTTCTTGGGCAACAGGCACTTGCAGCGCATCTGAGGCCGAGTGCATTGGCCAAGTTCAGAAGATCCTCTTTTACACATCTCTACCTCTAATAGCTGTTGGAGTGTCTGCTCACTTGGCCTCTACACTGACATTCCTCGATGAGCTGTTGAAGCAGAAAAAATCTGAGCCGTTGCTGCCATCATCATCAGAATCTGATGAGCAGACGCCTCCTACTACTACCACCACTACTACTACTCCAGAATCAAATGGCACCGCAGGCGGCAGGGCCAACAGTTTCCTCAGCTATTTCACAACCGAGCACTTTTTTGGTGTGATATTAATGGTCTTGTTCCCTGCAGCTGCACTTCTAGCAATTGGATATATAAGCTCTTGGTGGATTAAGTTTGGGATAGGAGCCATATGTACCCTGGTATCTACATCTATTTTCTTGAGTGGTTTATCTTCGTACCCTCGTGGACCTCGACCACAACCCATCCGTCTAACCAAAATATTTAGGGTACAAGATACCAAAACCATCCTAACCCTGATCGCCACGTGTACGACCTGTATCATAACAGGTGTGGTAATTTCCATTGGAAATACCTACTTCATTGAACAAGCAACTGACCTAAATCACTATGTAGGGAGCTTATGGGTTCCCGTTATTATCTTTCCCGTTTATTTCCAAGAATTGTCTAAAAAGCTTTGTGCCAGAGAAATAAAACGGTGTGCTGGATATCACGTGTTTGGGATTGCAGTGTCAATGGTTTTTTGCAACCCTATGTTGCATCACAGCTGCGAAAGTGGAGACCCGAAGGCTGGGCCTAGTTGAGAGCGAGGGCTTTGTTGACGAGCCAACTTCAGTAATTTCCATGACCATGTTTTGGTTGCTTCCACAGTTTCTTCTCCTTGGAGTGGCTGAAGACCTTTCAGAGAGGAGCGTTATTAAAATCTTCACTGAGAAGCTGGAAATTAAGACACCGGAGGAAGATGTAGATGCAAAGGCAATAAGGGAGGACAAGAATATGTACATGAAAATGTTTGCTCAAGCTGTTAGTGGAGTGGGAATTATATGCGGTGTGTTGTCTGTTTATGTGGTGGGTGAGATAAGTGCGAAGGTGGGAGGGACCAGTTGGTTTCAATACACCCTGAACAAGAGCCATTTGGACAATTACTATTGGGCCTTGGCTGCATTGAGTGCAGCTAATCTGGTAGTGTATGTTCTACTATATTTTCTAGATCTTATATGAGATAAAATGGATGATTTAGTTACATATATTTTCATGATTTAGTTGCGGGGATTGTGAATGATTATTATTGTCCGTGAGCAACGCTAATTTGGATGTCAAATTATAAATAATTTGTAACTCAAGTGATTAAGAGCAAATACTTTAGACTTGAGGTCTTATGTTCAAAACGCATGCTCAATATTGCTTATGAAAGAAAAGGATGTCAAATTAGGAATTTATGCAAGCCTTTCCTCATGGATGCAAGGCTTGTGTGGACCCCTTGGTGTATGTTGATAATGTGCAGCTCTGTCGGGCATAGTTTTTAATTTCTTCTATAAGTACGAATCTTATCATATTCAATCAAGAAATAGGATCATCTTGTGCAGCTCTATTTTTTGTTGGGGTTGCTTCTATGGAGTGGGCTAAAATGTGAAGTTCCCTAGAATTTTACATGTAAAAAACAATTGTGCCATCTAAGGGTTGTTTCGTCCTTGTACAACATGAATAAAATAGTAATACCGGTTTAACATGAGCCCCAAGTTGCTCCAGCTGACATGGTGGTACAATACCACTCTATAATTTCTTCAAAAGAAATTACTTTGGTTATTTCAGTAGGCCTTTTTTAACAAATTTGTTTAGTCTTTATTTATTCATTAACTACTTTTTTTGGACCTCCTAATGGTTAGTTTAGATTTAGTATCTAGTCAAGTAGCTAAATTAGAGTAATGTTATTTTTGCCCGAACCTTTTTCGTCTCACAAATTTTCTTAATGCATATATACGATATGCACGCTACGTCATTGCATCAAGAAAATAGACTTTGTATACTCTAATATGAGAATACTATCTAAGTTGGGAAAGAACGTTAGCATTGTCCTAATTCAATATATGAATTAAGACTGAGGATTTGAGATGCTATTATTTTAAATTAGTTACTAGACTTGAGAAAGACCAAGCAAGCATGTATCCTTTGCCAACCTTAGTTCAAAGAGAGGCTTTGCTCATATTGAATGTTAGATGAGACTATCCGGAAATGAATATCTCACTTTCAGCTTCTTTTTAGTTTTATTCAACTGCTGTTGTATAGGAGATTTTTTTTTTAAATCTACTTGGAGGTAGGTCTCTATTTTTTATTTTTATTTTTTTTAGTAGTCTAAATTAGAGGGGAGGAGAATTTCTCACACACACAAATGATGCCATGAGGGTTCGAACTTGAAATCTCTTGTTTGCAAATTAAGGCACATTTTCATTGAGGTAGACCCCTTTGGCAGAAGACATGTCTCTTTTAAATATGGTATAGTAGTGTCATAGCTGCTAGTTTAAAGATTTTGCGTTGTTTATATTTCAATATGCTAATTTACTAATCAGTTATTAGTCTTTGTAATTAAACCCAGAAACCAAGGGCCGGCATACCTTCAACCAAAATGAATTCATTAATTAAGACCCAGATGTTTTAAGTAATTTAGTTACTTGACTTGGCTACACCAAGTAGGCAAACTTCTGCATAGAATAAGAATATGGTCTTTTTTATGTTAAAATGTGGATCGAGCACTGTTCACATGTGGAGGCTTCACTCTCATGTGCCCAAGACGACTTCTTCAATTTTTTTTTCTTATGAAAATTTACTAAATAAATTCAAGTTTGGGAAAGGGAGATCAGATAGAGTGATCAAGAAAATCTTAGTTTCCAAATTAAGTTCTACACTTACACTACTACATTTTACGTTTTGCGCGACGAAGAGAATTTCGTTGCGCAAAATTACCTTTAGTTGCACATAACGTGTTGCACCCACAACGTGTTGTTACACCTCTTACAAGGACAACGGATTCTAGTTGCACCCGGGTTGTGTCTACGTGCAAACTCAATAAAATCCTCGATTCCATCCAAGTATTCGTCTGCGCATGTATTCGGATTCTGTATCCACATTCTGCTCATAATTCCTGAAACCACAATCACAACAATTTCATACGAAGTTATAATGTCACCTTATGCCTCCGGTAAGGGCTCTATCCCATTCGGGAATGCATAGTCCTGCCACATAACCTACGGCTACATGAGATTAGATTTCGACGGGGATGAATTTCGCCAGCATATCGATACAGTTCTTGAGGTGGGCATAAGTATAAATACATATGTACCACCCGAAGAACTTACCGAGATGACACCGAAATCTCCACAATCGAAACATAATCCTGTAACCGTAAATTACATGACAACACTATGCATTACAAAACTGTCCAAATAATGGGACAATTTAAGAATTAATTGGACTGCAATCATGCTTTACGCATCCATGCACGAAATCCAACTAATCTCGAACGTGAAACTAAGTGTTACTAAAAAATAATAATAAAAGTACGAAGTTAATTTCACTTAACTTCGTACATCACAACACATTGTGCTACGTCACGCACAATTTAACAACATAGTATAAATATAATTTAACAACAAAAAATATAAATATAACAAACTAAGTTCAACATAATGTAATTAATTTTATATAAAATGAATAAAATATCTTCTGAATCGTTCTCCACAATCGCAAATTACAAATATCTATAATGAGAACAAAATTAATAGCGTTAGTACAAATTTACATTAATACTTTTAAACAAACGACAAATAATACTTACCCAATGAGCGTATTGAATTCCCAGCAGAGACAGCAGTGCAGCACAGACAGAGAGAGGTTTTAAAAAATTTTGCATTATGCCTCTGCAATGGCAGAATCCAAAGATGTAGAAGAAGGATTTTGCGCGACGAAACCACATTTTTGTCGCGCAAAACCATTTTTTCGTCGCTTAAACTAACTTTTTTTCATCGCGCAAGAAACCTGTCAACATCGGATTTTTGCGCGATGAAAATTCTTCTTCGTCGCGCATACTCAAATTTTCGTCACTCGAGAACGTGCCGACATCAGACTTTGCGCAACGAAACGTCTTTCCGTTGCGCAAGTATTTGGCGCCAAAAAAAGGTATCGCAAATTTTTCTATCCACTTTTACGCGACGAAATTCGAAACCATCGCGCCAAGATATCTTTCGCAACGATCAGTATCGTTGCGCAAAAGTTTGGTGCCAAAAAAAATAAACCTGAGTTTTTCTTCCCCACTTTGCGCGACGATTCATTTGTTTGTCGTGCTAAGTCTCTTTGCACAACCAAATGTTTCGTCCCGCAAGTTTTCGTCTATTTGCGCGACGATTTTTTTTTTTTCCATCGTTGTAGTTTATTTTGCACGACGAATATTTGTTCGTCGCGTAAAGTATCGTCGCGCAAATAGTAAAATGTAGTAGTGTTACCTTAATCATTTTGGTTTGTTTCCAAATTAAGTTGTACAGACACTTAAAAATGTCGACATCTTCATCATCACTACAAACCTCGGTGTCACCCATGCTGAAGCAAGCTGGTAAGCAGACTTAAACTTCTCTGTCTTAGTTATTTTTAATAATAATTAATTTGCTAATTATGCTCTTCAATTGTGTAGCTGTGGTATGGCCTAGTTTCCTCACCACTTATCTCATGACCATAATTGCTACATACTTAACTAGGGTGTGGGAGATTAGCATCACAAACGCTGCTGCAATCGTCAATATCTACTGGGGTGTGGTGGGCATATTGCCATTGGCCTTGAAGCTAATTGTGGATGCTTTCATTGGTAGCTATTGGATGATCTTCATGTCCAAGGTTGCCTTCATCACTGTAAGTTTCTCCCTTTCACAAACTATTATCTTATGTAATTTCGTAAATAAATTGTAGCATTTTGTACTTTTAATTCAAAACCATACACTACTACGTTTCACTATTTACGCGACGAAACATTGCGCGACGAAGATCAACTCGTCGCTCAAACAATAATTGCGCGACGAAAAAACATTTTCGTCGCGCAATGCACTGAAAATTTGCGCCACCAAACTATTTCGTCGCGCAAAATGTATATGCGCGACAAAAAACATTATTCGTCGCGCAAACTGAGTTAAAAAAAGGGCGGGGAATTTTTTTAGCGCGAAACATTTGCGCGACGAGAAATATCGTCGCTGAAGGCAACATTGCGCGACGAAAAAATTATCCGTCGCGCAAATAGGACAGTCCGTGATTTAGCGCGACGGAAAGACGTTTCGTCGCGTAAGAGAACAAGAGATATTTTATTTTTTGGCGCCAAAAATGACCTGGGTGGGATATTTTTTTTTGCGCGACGTACTAACGTTTCGTCGCGTAAAGTTCAACGTTTACGCGACGAATACCCTGTTTTGCGCGACGGAATTATGTTTTTGCGCGACAATCTTGCGCGACGAAGTTTTGCGCGACGAAAATTACCAGCGTCGCGCAAAAGTTAGATGTCGGCAGGTGTTTGCGCGACGGAAAAAAGGGTCTGCGCGACGAATAATTTGGTTTTTTGCGACGGGACTTTGCGCGACGAATAAGTTTGTTCGTCGCGCAAAGTCCTTCTTCTTCATATTAGAATTCTGCCATTGCAGAGGCAGAATGCAAAAACAAAGCATTCTGCCTCTGCCTCTCTCTCAACCTCTCTGCTGCTGCTAGGATTTCAATACATTGATTGGGTAAGTATTTTTCGTCATTAGTTTAAAAGTATTAATTTAAGTTCGTACTAAGGTTTTTTAATTTGTTTTCGTTAGGGATATTTGTAATTAGCGATTGGTGGAGAACGATTGAGAAGGTATTTTATTTGTTTTATATATGTTTAAAATGTTCTTGTGAAGTTATATTTATATTATGTTGTGCGTAACGTAGTACAATCTGTTGTGATGTACGAAGTTAATTGAAATTAACTTCGTGCTTTTATTTTTATGTTTAGTAACACTTAGTTTCCCGTTCGAGATTAGTTGGATTTCGTGCATGGATGCGTAATGCATGACTGCGGTCCAATTAATTCTTGAATTGTCCCATTATTTGGACAGTTTGGTAATGCATAGTGTTGTCACGTAATCTATGGCTACAGGATTAGGTTTCGATTGTGGATATTTCGTTGTCATCTCGGTACGTTCTTCGGGTGGTACATAGGTATTTATACCTATGGCCACCTCAAGAACTGTAGCGAGATGCTGGCGAAATTCATCCACGTCGAAATCTAATCTCATGTAGTCGTAGGTTACGTGGCAGGAGTATGCATTCCCGAATGGGATAGGACCCTTACCGGAGGCATAAGGTGACATTATAACTTCGTATGAAGTTGTTGTGATTGTTGTGTTGTGATTCTGGTTTCAGGAATTATGGACAGAAGGTGGATACAAAACCCTAACAGATGCGCAGACGAATACTTGGATGGAATCGAGGATTTTATTGAGTTTGCACGTAGACACAACCCGGGTGCAACTAGAATCCGTTGTCCTTGTAGGAGGTGCAACAACACGTTATGGGAGACAATTGAAAATGTTGGATTTCATTTAGTAAGAAATGGAATGATTGAGACATATAGCATTTGGAACCTTCACGGGGAACAATTAGAGCATGCTTCGTCTTCAAATGCCACAAGAGTGGACAATGTTCAACCTATTGTGGATGCTAATGATGAAGTCATGGATATTATACAGGATGTTTTTCCATTTGCATCGACCAACATGAATCAAGAAGAGCAAGATGATGTGCCTACACCAATAGACAGTGCGGAGTTTGAACAATATGAGAAATTGTTAAAAAATGCCAACCAAGAGTTATACCCGGGGTGCGAGAGCTTTTCCGTTCTCACGGCCATTGTGGAGCTAATGCACGGAAAAATAAAGTATCGTATGTCGAACCTGTGTTTCGATTACTTTTTGGGGGTTTTCAAGAGAATGCTTCCGACGGACAATTGTTTGCCGAAAGACCATAAACAGGCGCAGAAGGTGTTGAATGGTCTTGGATTGGGTTATGAAAAAATCCATGCTTGCAAAAACAATTGCATGTTATTCTACAAAGAGCATGAATCGTTGGATACATGTCCTATATGCAATGAGTCGAGGTTCAAGATGACATCTCAGAATAGGACGACTAAGATCCCACAAAAAGTCATGCGTTATTTGCCCCTGAAACCTAGGTTGCAGCGATTGTATATGTCGACGCATACTGCCACAGACATGAGATGGCATCAGGAAAAACGGGTAGACGATGATGTGATGCGGCATCCTGCAGATGGGGAGGCATGGAAAGAGTTCGATCGAACGTTCCCAGAGTTTGCTGCTGATCCCCGAAATGTTAGATTGGGACTTGCCACTGACGGATTCAATCCGTATGGGGTTCTAAACCAACACCACAGCACTTGGCCGATTTTCGTATTCCCATATAATTTGCCGCCTTGGAAATGCATGAAAAAAGAATACATGATGATGACTGTTTTGATAACTGAGGATCCTGGGAGGTCAATCGATGTTTACTTAAGGCCGCTGGTTGATGAGCTCAAGGATTTGTGGACAAACGGTGTTCGCACGTACGATAAATCAACTGGGAAGATGTTCACTTTGCGGGCAGCAGTTATGTGGACTGTGAATGATTTCCCAGCATATGCAATGGTTTCTGGGTGGAGCACAAAAGGTTATATGGCATGTCCTGTATGCAAGGAAGATGTAACTTCTGGTTGGCATGCTGGAAAAGTTTGTTACCTTGGTCATCGGAGATGGTTGCCATGGAACCATGAGTGGAGGGAAAAAGATAAAGAGTTCGACGGGAACACTGAGCGTCGCCTTAGACCCAGAGAATGGTCCGGTGATGAGATATTGGACCAGCTGAACCGGTTGGATTTTGCTCCCTTCGGGAAAACAGTTAGTCGTATCAGACCTTCTACACATATGAACTGGACGCACAAACCTATGTTTTTTGAGCTCCCATATTGGTCGAAACTAAAATTGAGGCACAATCTAGATGTGATGCATGTTGAGAAAAATGTATTCGACACATTGGTGGGCACGATTCTAGATATCGAGGGGAAGACAAAGGACACGATCAAAGCTCGTCTTGATTTGGAAAGAATGGGCATACGAAGGGGTTTATGGATGAATAGGGACAATGATAAAGCTAGAAGGGATCTTGCATTCTTTTCTATGAAACCGAATGACAAGAAAGAGTTTCTAAAGTTTGTATCGTCAGTAAAGTTTCCCGATGGGTATGCTTCTAATATCGCACGTTGTGTGAATGTTGACGGGGGTAAATTTACTGGACTTAAAAGCCATGACTGTCATGTGTTTATGCAACGCCTACTTCCTGTTGGTATTCGACACCTATTGCCGGAAGATGTAGTGAAGCCAATCATTTTGTTGTCCAGATTTTTTTCCCAACTGACGGCGAAAACTTTGCGAAAAACGGACATGTTTCAGTTGCGCCATGACATTGTCCAAGTCCTATGCAAGTTTGAGATGATATTTCCTCCAGCTTTCTTCACAAGTATGATGCACGTGATGGTTCACTTGCCAGAAGAGGCATTACTTGCTGGTCCTGTCAACTATCGCTGGATGTATCCAATAGAAAGGTATATAATCCTTATCATTTGTGTATGCATCATTATCACATGCTTGCTAATTTCAATCATATCGTTTTATTTTGGCAGGCTTCTCGGAGAGCTGAAAAAAAGTGTACGCAACAGGGCGAAGCCCGAAGGATCAATCGTAGAGGCTTGGGTTCAATATGAGTCGCTTACTTTCTGCGGAATGTATTTAAAAGATGTGGAGACGGTTTTCAATCGTCCTCAGCGCAATCATGATGGAGGTATGAGAAATGAAAAACTTTCTGTTTTTGCCCAAAGCGCACGACCCTTCGGAGATCCTGGACGCGGAGAGTCGTTTTCTAGAAATGACATGGAGGTAGCGCATTGGTTCGTACTGAACAATTGTGATGAGATCATGGGATACTTATATGAGCATGAAGAGATGATGAAGCGAGAACATCCATCACATTTGGTTGCCCAGAAACACCGTGAATTGTTTCCACAATGGTTTTTGGATTCTGTAAGTTATCAGTGTTTGTTATTTGAGAAATATAAATTTTTTTAATAAATTTTGTCCGACTAACATATGAATGGGTTTGTATAATATTAGGTGAATAAGTTGAAATCATCGAATTCCCCAACTTACAGTGATGAGTTATATAACTTGGCGTTTGGCCCGATTCGCGCTGAATTGTTCTCGGGTTGTAATGTCAACGGTGTCAAATTTTTGGCCGAAGCACGAGATGACAAGTTGTGTACGCAAAACAGCGGTGTCCATGTCCCAGGTGGAGGCGAAAGTACAGACATTGATTTCTATGGCAAACTCACAACTGTCGTGCAATTGCTTTACAAAGATCGATACCAAGTGATCATGTTTAAGTGTCGATGGTTTGACACCAACCCAAATAGGCCGGGAAGTGTTAAAATCGATCATGGCTTACTATCTGTGAACATGAACAGAACTTGGTATGATGACGACCCTTATATTTTGGCAAACATGGCAACACAAATTGTGTATCTAGATGACCCTAAAGCCGGAAGCGGTTGGAACGTTGTTCAAAAGATGGATCACAGGAACGTGTATGCTATACCAGAACTAGACCCAACTGACAACAACGTCAACAATGTAGCTGACCAACGTTTAGAATCTTCAATGGAAAATGATGCGGAAACACTTCGAGATACTAATGTTATACAAGAGCCATTTCAAATACAAGGAGTGTCTTCAATCGAAATACCGATTCAGTCAATTACAATTGACCTCGGTGATCTTCCGCGATATGATGTT